TTAGAAAGTCCCATTGATCAATTTTATCCTCTCCTGGTTGTGCTTTTCTGGCTATATTTGCCAGTCTCTTTATACCATAGGCTAGGCCTTCTAAGTTTGGTCCCATTTTGTCTCTTATGATCTTTATGGGTTTGGACTTTTCCCTTAGGTCTCTGATCCACCTTGAGTTGATTTTTCTGCATGGTTTGAGATGTGATCCTGTTTCAGCTTTCTTCAGGTAGAAGCCTATTGGAACAGATGGTTTTATGGTGTGAGTGTAGAGAAAGAAGAACATTAATTTCCCTTTGCTGAGTAGAAGATCAAGCTCAAGGTGATTTCCATCATAAGGTATCTGAGGAAAAAATTTTAAATCCATGTGGCTGAACTTACCAGCCTTCATGAAGAAGTCAACACCATGAACTAAATCCTACAAGACTCATGATTTTCCCCTTGGTATTTCAGTGACCTTTTGTTATTTTCTTCTTGAAATAACACTAACCCTATTTCCAATAAGTTATATAATACTAATAAAATAGGTAAACAATACTAATAAAATAATAGCTTGTAGAGCACCAATGAAGTGATGCATATAATATGCCCAGCAGAGCACATGGACAATAAGAGTTAAACAAGGAATGCAGTGATTCCTCATGTTTTCTGCTATGTGAAATTCTTTCACTTTTCAATGTATTTTCACATATATATTATCACATTTCATTATTATAACTTCCAGTGTCGGCCAGGTAAGTATAGAATCTACATTTTAAAGAGGAAAAAAATATCTAGAGTGAATGATTAGTTTTCCTGAAATGACTATTTGCCTTCTATTTAAGAAAGAGTGCCAGTGGCAAGGAACATATTGCTCAGTGGTACAACCCGTTCCATCCTGGAGCTTACGAAGAGAAGTGAAACATTCCAGAGTTTTCACAACCTGCATTCACAGACATATGCTCTAGCTGGCAATCATAATTCTCTCAATCAGCAGGACTTAGAAACATAGAGTCTGTGCTGTCACGAGTATAGAAAGAGTGATCCATTGGGACACAGCGGTGGTAAGAATTTAAATTAGTGTTTTAGGTGCTGCTGAAATTGATGGACATTTGGAAAAGGAAATTCAGATACATGTGTGCACACTTAGACATGCTCATCTTTTGGCCTTACAATTCTCCATCTAACAATATAATCAGAAATAATAAAATATGCTTTGTCAATGAGGTGCTCACCCAATAGTGACAAACTAGAATTTGCTTCCTAATGGGGAAGTGGAGGAATAAACTGTGAAGGAAGAATGTTGTCCTAATGGAGAATTACTCTGGAGTCAGACTCACTGGATTAAAACTCCTACCCTGTAATCTCCAGTTGTGCAAGAGAGTTAGTTACTCAAGCTAGTTAAATCTTTGTTGACTCATCTAAAAATAAAATCATGCTATCTACTTTACACTAATTTTTTAAAGAATTATATATGATAGTTAATGGGGGTGTTTAGCCAGTGATGTGTCTACAGCACTTAAAAACAGCAATCAAAAATATTATTACACAGTAGCTATTTGCAGTTAGGTGTCATTGATAGTGACCGTATGAATTAATAAAACACGGTCCAACTTCTACTGTGATTTAGCCTATCATTATAGCCACCAGGCCAATGAATTTTTCTGAAGGTCATCTTTTTTTGCCTTCATCTTACCAATCATGGTATCTTTCTCCAGGAACAGATCTTTCCTGCCAGTAGCCCCAAACATGTGAGATAAAGTCTCATCAGCCTTGCTTTGAAGATACATTCTAATTGTGCTTCTTCAAAGACAAATTATTCTGTTGGCAGACTGTGATCAATATTCTTCACCAAAAGTATAATTCAAAGGATTTGATTCTTCAAAACTCAATCTCAAGTCAAAGTTAACTGACAGATGACCCTCTAGTGGGTTTTATGAGGTGGCTGTAATTGGAGTCAAAGGAGATTTCCAGTCTGTCTCCTGTGGAGACACTGGTGGGTTTGAACCAACAGATATACACCATCTTTGGGTTAGCAGTGCAACTCCCTACAGACTATGTTATCAGATCTTCTTTCAGTTCTTCATTGCAATGTCTCCCCATCAAGTACATTGAGAAGTTGTGTTGTGATTAAAAATATGATGGCCTTTGTAAGGCACATCTTAGCTATAAAGTGACATTCTCCCTCTTTAGGACTTTAAAGATGTTTTCCAGCAGATTTGTCCAATGCAACACGTCATTTGATTTAATGGCTACTGCCTTCCATAGGCATTGAATGTGAAACCAAGAAAATTAACACCTTGACAATGTTATATTTGCTTTTTTTATCAATCCACAGGTAAGTATTTTTGTTTTCTTTATCTCGAGGTACAATCCTTACTTTGTGTCTTACTATATTAAGATATGCATCTGAGACCTGGACAATGAACAAAGATGATAGAAAAAGAATTGACACCTTTGAGCAGGGGTGTTGGAGAAGAGCACTGAACATCCTATGGATGGCCAAGAGAATGAACAGATATGTCTTGGAGACGGTACAGCTGAGTGTTCTTTGGAGGCAAGAATGATTAGGCTTCACCTCACATACTTCGGACATATTGCTAAGAGGGGCTATTCCTTGTAGAGGGGCATGATGTTGGGAAGCATGGAGGGTCGGCAAAAGAGAAGAAGACCCTCATCCAGGTGGACTGACATGGTGACTGCTGCAATTGGCTCCTGTGGAAGTGTGAGGATTGCAGAGAACAGGACTGGGTTCAGATCTTTTGTTCACAGGCTTGCTATGAATCTCATTCATCTGGACAGTACCTGACAACAACAACAACAACAACAACAATCCTTACTAAAAGCTGTAGTCTTTGAATTTCATTAGTAAGAGCTTCAAGTCTTTTTTGTTTTCTACAATCAAGATTGTGTAATCTGCATATCATTGGTTGTAAATGGGTAACTATTCTAATTTTAAGAGGAGAGCTCTGATGGCTTTGGTCAGACCATGGGACATACAATACTCTTCTCTAGTCTGTTGTCTGTAGGGTTGCTATAAGTGGTACTTAACTTAATAGCATTAAACAACAACACTAGTGACTTAGTTATGATAATAAGTTGTGCAACCAGTTCAAAGGCAGGAAGTTTGAATCTCCCAGCTATTTTGTGAGAGAAAGATGGGTGATCTCTTCCCATGTGATTTATATCTTCTGAAAACCCACTGGAAGGTCAATTGAGTCGGTCGTCAACACTTAACAATAATACACTATTTTAAGTGTTTACTATATGCCATATGTTGTGCACACTTTAAAGCCATTATCTTTCTTAATACTCACAATAACTCAATAACTCTGTGATATATGTGCTATTAGTAAATTTATTTTCTAGGTAAGACAATTGAAGATTTGATTGTGTAAGCAACTTCCCAAAAATTCATACAGATAGTGGTTGAAAGTGTTGGAATGTGAGCTCAGGCAGACTGACTTTGAAGCTCATCTTCTGATACAAGATATACAGTCTCTCATACAACAGACATTTATATGTCTCCATGGGTATATGACACATTATGTGAAACCTACACTTGGACCAAGAGGCAGTCGTCAGAACAGAACAAGGAAACACTGCATGGCTCAAAATTGGGAAGGGTGTACACCAGGGATGTATACCATCTCCATACCTTTTCAATCTATATACAGAATAGATTATTCAGGAGACTGGGCTCTATGAGGAAAAATGTGGCATCAGGATTAGAGGAAGATTCATCAACAATCTGCGTTATGTAAATAATACAATTCTGCTTGGTGAAACTGAAAAGGACCTGAAATTCTCACTGCAGAAGGTCAAGGACTGCAGATCAAGATCCAGAAAACAAAGATTCTCACCACTGGACTGATTAACATCATCATAATAGATGGTAAAGAGATTGAGATTGTTAATAGCTTTAGTTTGCTTGGCTCCACAATAAACCCTCTTGGTACCAGCAGCCAGGTAATTAAAAGATGAATTCTATTGGGAAAGTCTGCTGTCAGAGACCTCTCCAAAGTACTGAAGACCAACACTGTCAGTCTGGAGACTAAGGTGAGCCTGATACAGGCCATAGTCTTTGCAATTACTTGCATCAGAAAGCTGGACAATGAGCAGGGACGATAGAAGGAGAATTGATGTCTTTGAGCTGTGATGCTGGATAAGATTATTGAATATATCATGGACTGCTAGGAGAACTAACAGGTTCATCCTAGACAGGGTGAGACCAGGCTGCTCCTTGGAGGAGAGGATTCTGAAGCTTCATCTGACATACACTGGACATGTTGCAAGGAAGGACCAGTCCTTGGAGAGGGAGGGACATCATTCTTTGGAGGGTAGAGGGACAACACAAGAGAGGAGGACCTTTGATGAGCTGGATTGATTCAGTGACTGGGGCAATGGAAGGCAGGTGTGTCAGAGATAATAAGATTGACATAGAATAGAACAGAGGGCTTTTGTACATAGGGTCGCAGGCAACTCTACGGCACGTAACAACAGCAACAACAACATGTGTGTATGTATTTATGTATATGCCCATATAGATGCACTTACATGATATTTAGTAACAGGGTTAGTGAGAAATTATCAGTAATTAAGGATACCAAGCTATATGCTGATATAAGATCAACTATACAAAAGGCATGTTGTTGTTGTTGTTAAGTGCCGTCGAGTCGCAGGAGCCTCATAGCGACCCTATGAAGGAGAGTCCTCAAAGCTTGGAATACAAAATAGAAAATGAAATATAGTTTCCTTTGTGTGGTGGTATTATGGATGAGTTTAATTCTTAAATCTTTTTTGTGTTTACCAGGTTTTCCACAGAAAATATGTTCCATTTCATTCACAGACAATTGAAAGGAGAACAGACACCTAAATAAAGAATCTAAGGATGATGTGTGAGAATGGTTTTTCACAAATAGGTTTCTCTTTTTCCAATTCTGGCTGTAGAACATACTAGACATTCTGAATGGCAACTCTTCATTTATCTTTTGGATAGAGCAAATGAAAACAGTGAGAACACAAATACTTACATGTACTAGAACCGGGGTAGGTACAGGGAGGCCTGGCGTGGGAATTGGCTCCGGATGAATAACTATTTCAGCAGGAACCGTTCCATCTTCTTCCTCACGAGGCTTCTGATCTGCACAGTGACCAATGTCTGCATTTTTGAATGATACGGGCTGTGCAAAGTCCACGGGGCTGTATAATTAATGGAATATAATTAAAACGAGATAATTTTCTTTTTATCATCTTGTTTCCTTAAAACTAAATCATATCCTCCTTTTAGGTTTTCTTGGGGAGTCATCAGTGTCATAGAGAATTACCACTTGAAAATCATCAGTTTCTTTCCCCTGCCTTTTGAGAATATGATTTTGGATAGTGTTCCAAGAGCAGGGAGACTCATATGAAAAGGGAGGGAGGGAAATAACAGTAAAAATATTAACTTACACAGAATTAAAAACTAGATTCCATATACAGCCTTCAAAAGGAGGGATATTTCTGAGTGGGGAAGGTTGAAATTCTGGTGGAGCACCTCCAACAAAAAGCTTCTTAACTTCAATAGCCTGTTCCACCGTCAAGTTCTGCATGTGTCTTCTGTTTTCATCAACTTGGACAGTAAAGATGCTGATGAAACATGAAAAACCAACAAGGACAAAACACAGAATGTTAGGTACACTTGGAAAGCAAACTCATTCCTTCTTCCCTGCATGCCTTCCTTCTGTAGCTCTGAAGGGAGCCAAACAGTACATGATGATAAGGAGATCTACATTAAAAGAGTGTTATCCTTTCTCAGGACTCATCCCCCAGCCTCTCCTCTTTTTGTTAACTCTCCCCAACAATTTCCGGAAGCCAGGCAATGGCCTAGCTGCAACAGTAGCCTCTAATAGTGTTGATAACAATGGCCTACAAACCAACATGAGCCACTAAGAGCAGAGGCTTCTGCACTGTGTAGTAATGTCTAATCATGAAAGACTCAGTGGGTTTAGCACAGCATGGGGTCACATTTTGTTTGGCTCTTTATTTCTTGGTTTGTGTTAGCTATTATCTTCTTGCTAGGGGACCAACTGTACTCCTGAGAGCTTAGATTGCAGGAATGAACAGCAAATGCATACAGTACCATTTCTAAAGAATGCAACTGCTGGCTTTTGAATAGGAGAGGCAGGGAAGAACATCATGCTAATTGTTCCTTGCAATGATTTTCCTTAGTGGCTGTTTCCCTAATTTGCTTATCAGAGATAACTCACACATTACTAATTGAGAACATCATGCTACTTATTCACAACAATCGCTGAATCCTGGGGCAAAGAATCACAAGGCACAAAGAGCTCTGAAATTGGAAATGACCAAAGGCATTTTCTCATTTGTTAAAGGAGCAAGCTTTGGGCATGAAGACCAACAGTCAGCATGACAGTATTAGTCATAAGTATTAGTCACTGGCCTGAGGATGCAGACTGGATTACTGAAAACTCACTCCATACCTGGGGAAGGAAACCAAGATGCCTGGCTGGAAAACCTCAGTCCTAACCCTACATTTCCAATGATTTTATAAAGAAGAAAAACAACCTGCAGATCTGGGAACAATAAACCCAGAGAAAAGATACTCTGAATTGGTACCAAGCAATCGCCCACATATGGACGATTTAAAAGCAAGAGGATGGAACAAAAGGCAGATGTCACTGTGGTTCAAAAATGTGACTCCTCAGGAGGTGGAGAGGGGGCAGATGAGCTTCAGTTTCAAAGGAACAATAGCGGCAATGGAAATATTGGTGTTCTACCAGATTCTCTTATCAGGATGCTCCAGTCCTTGTATAAAGGCACTATACAGAAGTCAGCAAAAGCTAGGACAATCCTCAGAGAGATGGAATGACACAGAGACTGTAACAAGGGCTCCAGGACTTCAGCAATCATGAAGATGGCACAGGATAGGACAAAGTTCAGGTCTGCTCTTCATAGGGCCGCTATAAGCTGTAGTCCACTCAATGTCACCTAACAACAATAACAGTAGTTGCCAGGTTCTGGAAGAATGTGTTAACAAAAGTCAGATTGAACCTCAGTGCTCAAAGTGTGGTAATTTTGGAGACCTTTAGAAAACCATTGATTTCCAGGTACATGTGACTCACTGAGAAACCACTTCTAGCCCAACACCTTCTTATCTTTTACTAACAGAAACCTCTTTTTAACGTGATAGGAATGCTTCCTAGGAGTTTTAATGAGCATTTCAAATTATGAGCAAAGATCATTCAAGAAGAACAATTTCTACTCTTGATTAGAGTTTTTAAAGAGTCAAGACATGTCTTCTTTCTAATGTAGATTCATTCTAGTTTTGCCCAAGCACCTTAAGAGTTATCTTTTTATTGCCTGGTCACTGGCTGGTGATAAAGAATGAGCCTGGGCTTTAAAGAGGAACAGATCTAAATTAAGTACTGGCTTGGGAGTTTACTAGCTATGGGATTTTGGACAAGTTATTTAATCTTGCTCAGTCTAATTGAATTTGTTTATTAAATGGGAACAGGAATACTTATGTCAAATGATGAAAAAATATTTATTAAGTTGTAGTTGTCGTTATGTGCCATTGAGTCACCTGTGATTCATAGTGACTCCTACGTACAGCAGCTCTGAGGCTTGCCCTGCAAGAGACCGCACTAATTCCATACTTGTATGAAGAATTCTCTTACTATGGAGTAAACCATCTCATTCATTTGTCTTACTTGCCTAATCAACCAGTCTGTGCTTGGAGTTTAATATTTTATTCTAGTGGGAATTATTTGTCACTGAGATGGACTCAGGAGAAAGAATGTCTGGCCAGAGACACAAAATAGGAATTCAAATATTAAGAAATTAGATAATGAAATGATGTAAAAAAGTGAAGGGGAAAAAGGTATAAAAAGATAGAGAACTATGGAGAAGGGGAAAGAAAAGCTGAAAAGAGAAAGAAAGAAAAAAAGAAAGAAGTTGCCCTGAACTTAGTAAATACACAAGGATTACTGAAGTTACCACTCTTATCCAGGGATTTGGGGGAGGGAGGTACTATAGTTGACATATATAGTCTAGAAAGCTTTGCAAGAAAGCAAGTACCTCTAGATTAATGACAGTATAGTGATCACCATGAAGTAATACTTATCTTTGAGTTCACAATTAAAAGAGTAAACAGTTCGTTGAACACAGATGGAGATACTAAGTTCTGGCTATGTTATTTACTAGCTATCTGTGACTTTGGGCAGGTTACTTAATATTTCCTCATAATGTGAGCATATTAATAGAGATATACAATACATTCATAAGGATTAAATGACATGAACTTTGTTTAGTATTTGGCAGAGAACATGCCATAAGCAGGCACATGAAGCATTAAAATGTCTCTATGGATTTTCTAGAGGTCTATTTTCTTTTTTAAAAATATATTTAATCAGTCTGTGGCAGCACTTACTTAACGGGTAACTAATGATTATTTTTTTGACCTCAGAATGTGGAATGAGACGTTAGGGTAGCAAATGTGCTCTAGCTTTGGCACAGAGTACAGGGACTACACACTAACATGCTCAATACACTATCCTGTAATTAATGGCGAATGGCAAAACTGTTTGTTTATATGGCCAATTAACTGAATGACCGTTTTCCACTGATGTACTATACACTGAGCTTAATCAAATAAAGGCTGGATTGATGGCCAACAGCTGTGAAGTTGACATAATAAACTGTCCTTCTTAAAGAAACACCTGCTAAAAGGACACCTTAGTACAACATCCTAATGCTTAGGGGAATTTCTCTCTCTATAAAATGACATATTTGGGAAGATTTTTTTTTTTTGGTGTCAATTGTATATCCCCAACTTTCATTTGCTCATTTAAATTTGTCAAGTTTTTTTTTTTTTAAATTCTTCCCACAATTAGAAGGATTAAAATTTGACAGAGGACCTGCCTGAAGTCTATTTTGGCAGACATATAAAATCAGTATTCTCGAGCATTTCCAGATACTCAAATGAGAAAAATAAGTTTGCACTATTCCTCAGAGGCCATGGCTATATTATCTAGCTATTAGATTAGTAAACATTCTTTGTCCAAATATTGATCTCTCATTTATCTTGATCATGATTTTTTAAAGCATCTTAGTTAGTAGACTCTCTGCGTGAATGTTTAATATTACTTCAGCAACGTCCTCACCCTCTGTATGTTGAGAAGAATATGAGCGCTAGAAAGTTTTACTATTTATTTAGAAGATAAAAATAATCTCACTGCTCACCTAAGCTCTTATCTAGACGAAAAGGAAAATTATAAACAGTCTTTGTACTAAATAAAGAACAGCTCTTGTTGGCTTGAAGTAATGCTACATATTCTACCTTAGTCATATACAAAGACATTCCCTGCATTTTGAGATTTCACCAAATTGGATTTCCAGTTTTTCTGATACCTTCAGACTGATAAATGAATTGCTGGTTTGGGAATCTGAGGCTCCTGAAGTCTCGAAGCTTCTATTTTCTTTTCTTCTAATTGTCATTTTAAACAAACTACCTCTCTGAGTTGTCACACAATATTTTTATGAAAAATTCAAATGACTTTCTCAATAAAGTAGGTATAATAGTCCGCCGTGTTTTGAAGAAAGGAAAAATCCATTTGTACTCAATTATGGTCAATTCCCTAATCTGTGGCCTGAAAGTACATGCTTTTTTGTGTCCTGCAAGAAGAGAACAGGACAGTAACCTTATCTTGCTTCTGTCAATGCTGCACCCTTCTGTAGTCACTCCGCAGGGACTTTGCCCATCCTGGAGACAGAGTCAGGGATGAGACATGGCTGTCATGTACACCTGACTGTGCCCAGGAGGTTCTGCAGCTGCTCCTGTGTTCTTTATATGGAGCAGGTTTCTAAACAGCTGCCATCAGTACTTTGGAACCTGAATGAAATAGCAGCTGCCAAAGGCTGCTGGCTCCAGCTGGGCTATTCTGGATTTCACTGCGCCTGTACCTGATTTGAGAGGAGAATATTATAGAGGTGCAGAGGGACAGATTTTTCTCATCTATGGCTTCAGAAGAGGCATTTGGTTTTTTCCACAAGTGGAGAAGAGGAATTGTACAGATTTTTAAAAAATGCTTTTAGCAGAAGTTCTAAGTACCTGAAGTTAATAAAGTTTCTGAAGTCTAAAACATAAAGAGGAGGAAATGAAGCTGCTTTATATTTTTTTGCAATGCATAATGTCCCTGCGCATACAAAGGTTCAGGTAGTCTAATGTGAAGGGAAAGAACTTCCTGTTAGTTTGTAGGCTGTTTAACAGTAAGTACTCGAGTGCTATTGTTACCCGCTAGTTCTCTCTACATGAACAGAATGTTCTCTCCCGTCGTGAAACAGACTCGGCTCTGGTTTGACGACAATTTTCCTCATTGTTCGTGCCCCTGTGGAGAGATGCACTTCCAGACGGCCTTTGTTCAGGAATATGGCATAATAGGCCTGCAAGAGTAAATGGTTATTGAAGATTAAACAAGAGTCTCATCTGTGACTTCACTTTAACGGTTCTCTGACAGAACTGCAGACCATTCTCTCCAAGATCTTACAGGGGAATTAAGACACAATATTCCCTTATGCAGAGCATTTAGGCAGCTGAAAGTACCTTTTTAATCACTTACGTTTTTTAGAAAAACCCCAACAATCCAACAGCTAGATGATACGGGGAGTAGACTTAATAACTTAGCATTTCTTTGTAAAGCAGGTTGGCACTATTGAAAATAACAGCTCCTAATTTACAAAACCAACCAGGAGACAAAAGGAACAAGAAAATCCTTCTCCCATCTACATTCTTCAGTGGACAGCAAGCTGCTTGGAAACGAGCTCTGCCTCTCCACCCCTTGGCATTTTGAGGATTTACATTTCAATTTTGTTCTCTCCGAAATGGGTTGACTAGATTGTGATCATGAGCATGCAACTTGTCGCCCACGTTTAGAAAGGAGGAAGATGGGTTTTCATCCACAAACAAGCCTGCTGTCTTCGTGCTGCTGTTACTATAGCAACCACTATGGTTTTGCTATGAGATTATGAGCAGATTATGAATGCAGGCCTCTTCCTCAAAGCAATGCGTGCAATATTCTGGGAAGCATTGGGGCATCTGCTGCACAACGACCACTTGGTCCTCTCAGCGTCATCCGCGATGGTGGAGAGCATTCCAATCAAATATCATAATGGCTCCAATCATTTACTTAATTAGTTATGCAGCTCTATGCCCAACACAGGAACAGGATTAATACTTTGTCATCCAATGAAGGGGCAACTGGAAAATACTCAGTCAATTAAAAAATTGCTTAGTTGAACCCTTTCTTGATATCTCAATCGCATTTTGCAGAGTATAATCACAAATATCCATATGAATATCTATATGTTTAGCTTTGAAAAATGAAACATGCCAATAGAACCAATTTAATTAATATTCTAGACAGATACCAATTATTGACATTGTTTTCTCTATCAGACAGCATATTATATTTTTTTAAAGTATATGTTCCGTATAATTTGTTTTTATTACATCTGTTATGTGCCATCAAGTCACCTATGACTCATAGCGACCCCTGAGCCTTATCCTGAGCCAGTCTCATTGACTCCCACACACCTACCCCATTACCCCTGTTACCAGTTCATCTCATCTGGGGCCATCCTCTCCTGCACTGTCCCTCCACCCTTCCAAGCATGATGTCCTTCTCCAAGGACTGGTTCCTCCTTTCCACATGCCAAAAGTATGTGAGATGGACCATCAAAACACTTGCCTCTAAGAAGAAACTTAGTTTCATCCTTTCTAAGACAGACTTACTTGTTTTCCTGGTGGTCCATGACATGTTCAATACTCTTCTCCAGCACCACAATCCAAAGACATTTATTTTTCCTGTTATCCTTAATCACTGTCCAGTTCTTTGATGCATAGCAAGTAATGGCAAAAACTGTGGCCTAGATCAGGCACACCTTAGTCTCTAGACTGACATCATTGCTCTTTAGCACTTTGGAGAGGTCCTTGACAATAGACTTCCCCAATGCAATCTGTCATTTGATTTCCTGACTGCTAGTGCCAAGAGTGTTGATTGTGAAAAGCTGAAAGTGTTAGCTTCAATATCGTCTCCATCTACTAATGTCCTGCCAACTGACCCAGTGGTAAGAATCTTTGTCTTCTAGTTGTTGAGCTTCAATCCATATTTAAAATGACAGTCTTTGACCTTATGCAGCAAATGCTTCAGGTCTTCCTCAGTTTCAGCACGCAAGGTTTTGTCATCTGTATAATAATGCAGGTTGTTGATGAGTCTTCCTCTAATTCTGATGCTACATTCCTCTTCATAAAGCCCAACCTCCCAAATGATCTGTTCTGCATACCGATTAAAGAGGTATAGAGAAAGGATGCAGTCCTGACACACTCCTTTTCTGATTTTGAACCATGCTTGTTTTGTTCTGACAACTGTCTCCTAAGTATGCGTTTTGCAAGAACACAATGAAGTGTCCTGGGATTTCCATTTTTCTCATGGTTGGTCATAATTATCATTTAAATATTAAAACATTAACAATGTTATATCTCATTTACCTTTGATAATAGTACGTAACACTTTATTTTGGTTGTTTTAATAGTGATAATTTTTTTAAATTTTTAAATAGCTTTCCTCAAGCCTGGTGATTCACATTCATTCAATTAGTTCTAGTGAGACATTTGGAGTTGACAGGCTATGCCTAATTATTTCTCGATGACTAAGAAAACAGACATATTTTGATGGAAATCTGTTTCAGAGCATTTTATCTGCTCTCTCAATATGACTACTTTATTATTTTTTTTAAATACTGGCTTATTTACAAAGTTTGTATACATTGCTTTTCACACTGGATCTTCCCCCTTTCCTTCATCTCCTCTTCAGCCATCAAATTGTGCGACCCTTGATTAACCACCCCCGATCTCCACCCAATTGGCATTTCCTCAGAACACAGAAATTTCATATAACCGAGCTGTTCCACTTCTTGGAATGTACTTTCTTATTTTTAATAGTTGCTATTGTTTTTATGTGCCATAGAGTCATTTGTGACTCAAAGCGACCCTATGTACAATAGCTCTGAAACTGTCCTATTCAGAGCCAATAAAATAATTTTCTTTTTCAGGATTTTAAAATAAAAAAAAATGACAGAGTATGTATATTTTATAGTCAGTGCTTATTGTTAAATTGTTAAATCATTAAAATGCTATTACACTATTAAGCTGTTCCCTTATTATGAAATAAAGAAATCATTTAAAAATATATTTTTATTATGAATGCTTGGCTCCTTTCTTGTGATATAAGTGATCTACATCTAAGTAATGAAACTGTTTTTTAACTGTACCACAAAATAAACACCTGCAAATATACCACCCATCTTAAAAAAAATACACACACACACACACACACACACACTCTTTAGATCTATCTATGAGCTTCTTCCCAATCTCATCCTTTTGGTTTTCTACCTCAGAGTAACCACTAATTTTATGTTTATCATTCTCTTGTTTTTCTCAAAGTTATAGAAAATTCACATATTTATATTAAAAAACACCCTCCTCACTGGTGTCAAATAGATTCAGATTTGTAGTGACCCTATTCTTGTTGTTGTTATATGCCATATAGATACCTTGGAGTCATACAAACCCATAGAATCCATAGTTGACAATCCAGAAGGTTTTGAGAGGCAATAAATTGCAAGGGAGGAGATTGTCCATCTTTCTTCTGCAGAACAGCTGGTGAACTTAAACTGCATATCTTTACATTGGCAGCACAATTCCTTACCTCTAGGCAACTAGAGAGTAAAATATTTATGGAAATAGATTGTCACATCTTCTTACTGCAGAGTGACTGACAGTTTTGAATTGATGACCTTTATGTTAGCAGCTGAGTGTTTAAATATTGTGGTAGCAGGGCTCCTTACATATGTATATAGCTGGAAATAATATATTGTGTAATGCTACTTGTATTTGACATCTACAAAAATAGTATCATTTTGTATGCACTCCATTTATATTCTAACATTCATCATGCTTGTTGTTGTTGATTGCCGTCGAGTCAAGCTTGACTCATAGTGACTCTATGAACAAAAGACTTAATGTGTTTCCATGCTATCGTCATTTCTCCAGTTCATAGAGTTTCCAAAGGCATGTGGTTTAGGAAGTGGGTGCCCTTCCTGCTTCCAAACCTATTTTGCAACTGCGAGCTCCACAAAACACTGTCCATTATGGGAAACCATTCTGGTATTTGATACCCCAATGGTACAAGGTTCAGCATCACAGCAAGCCAGGTTACTTCATTCTGCACATTGACAAAGAGTGACGTACAAAGTGGAAGAGTGTTCCTGCAGATATAACAGCACTAGTTTCACTTAGCAATGGTTAAGCGTCACCGAGTTGAATATCCTTACATATAGTTTCTTCATTTTTATTCTAACTTAATATTCTGCTATTTGAAAATGCTACAGTTCATATCTTTTCCCGTTGATGAATATTTTGAATTGATTCTAATTTTTCTGCTGTTATAAATAATGCTGCTATGAACAATCATGTTTGAGTCCATTCTCAAGAGTGAAATTCCAGTATTGCAGAGTGTGCACATTTCCAACTTTACAATATTGTGCCAGACCATTTCCTCTTTATACCAGTAGTGATTATGAGAGTTTTTTGATCCACATCTTGCCCACGTTTGGTTTATCAATACATCACTTGTCATAATACCTTACCAAGCTAGAATATTTGAGTGCTATATAACCATTGTCTCAAATTTCATTGCCTTGACTGATCATTAGATTATTTTTGATAAAAATGCTTATGTTGTTGCTGTTGCTAGGTGCTATTGAATTGACTGTATCTCTTTGTGATCCTGTGAAGAACAGATCTGAACCTTCCCCTATCCTGAATCACCCTGAAGCTCAAGTCCACTGTTAAAGTCGCTTTGTCGAGCTATCTCATTGTTTCCCTCTCTTTCCATGAGTTCACTTACTTGACAATGACCATCCATTTCCTCTTCTTTGAAATGCCTGTTAAAGTCTTTTGCTTATGAGTCTTTATTTTTTTTCTTGCTTTTTTGTAAAAGCTTTATAATAACTATTCTGGATACTAATTTTTTAGATTGTATTTGTTACATATTGCAAGAGAACACATAGACTTTTAGGACATTTAGTGACCTGGCATTAAAAACCACACATAATCGCAACTAGGACAATGTGGTTTGCAAAGTTATGTCAACAGTAATGTTTTAAAGACAATATTTGCTAAGCATTCTCGTATTTTTTTTTTTTTTGGTCAGGTAGACTAGATAATTCCTGTTAACCTTTTTTGCTGAGAAAAACTAGATTAAATGGAAAGGAAAAGATTTTTTAAAGATAACTGAAGGTATTAGAGAGCTATCAAGACAGTAAAGTTACAGTGTTTAGTTCAGGGAAAAGACATTTTATTGTAACCAAGTGGCTAAGAGGTCTCGGAATTGGAGATTAGCAACTCTACAAAGGAGGATATTGTTCAGAAATTGTTTTTGTGTCCTGAGTGGGGCTGGGCTGGATGTTTGCTTCCCCCACACGGTTCTTTACTGACTCTGTGCTGTCTACAACCTCTCATATCAGTTTCTTTACCTGCTCTTCCTTGTGCCTAGATAAGGCGGTGCAAGGCTGGTTCCAACAGGCTACTCACATCTCCTTGACTAGACACTGTAGGGAACTGACCTTAGAAGGAGTTCAAGTTTAAGAGACCATTTCTGGATATCTACGTATGATGAGGAATTGAACTAAGAGACAGAAGATTAGTATTGTTTTGGACATATGATAAATTTATCTCTATATATTGCATAAGAATGGGTAATCTCCTCCCGTGTGATTAACTGCCTCTGAAAACCCACCAGAGGGTCAGCTATGAGTTGGTCTAAATCTATGGTGCACAAAAACAGCAACATATGTCTACGTTAAACCTATATGAAATACAGATGCAAATGTGACTGTGTGCTTGGAATTGACCAAGAGGAAAACTCAAGTGGAGAATATGATATGAAAGAAATAGGAAGTTAGTATGGATAATATGTATAAATTTATTAACCCTGAATGACACACCAGGGAACTCTGGTGGTCTAGTGTGCAGAAAGTTGTGCTACTAACCCAAAGTGGCATCTTTCTGGTGATTTGAATCCCCCAGCAGCTCTGCAGGAGAAAGATGGGTAATCTCCTGATGTGGGATTGACAGCTTCCTGTAAACCTGCTGGAGGGTCATCTATGAATTGGTTATGATTGCACAGCAAGGAGATTTGAAATGCTTCATTATAAAACAATGAACTTCTTTGTAAAACAACCATTGTATATGAACATTTTTGTTGTTGTTGTTTGCCCTCTAGTTGAACACAACTCTTAGCAACTCTATGAACAAAAGGCCTAAAGCCTTTCTATAACTGTCATAGTTTTTCCAGGTTCATAGAGTTTTCAGAGGCATGTGGTTTAGGAAGTGGATGCCACTCCTGCTTCCAAAGCTGTCTTAAACTGGGAGCTCTAACAAACACTGTCCACCTTAGGCAGCCAGTATGGCATTTGACACTCCTCCCACCCCAGCCAATGACATGAAGTTCAACATCACAGCAAACACAGATTATCGCAGTGCAGCAAATTAGCAGAGGAGTACTGCACAGCTTAGAAGAATGTTCCTCCAAAAATAACACTAGAACCTTGGGCCCAACTGTGTCTTAAATACAAGGGCCCTCCATGCATATATGAACAAAAAGCCTGAAGCCTTTTTACAACTATTGTCATTTCTCCAAGTTCATAGAGTTTTCAGAGGCATGTAATTCAGGAAGTAGGTGCCACTCTTGCTTCTCTTAATCAATCTGGGAGCTCCACCAAACACTGCCCATGATGAGTAACCATTATGGTGTTTGGCACACCAATGGCACAGTTGTTCCATAATGGTATATAAACATTAGACAAAGAAATTATTAACTAGGTATGAGAGGACCTACCTGTCCAGTCTGCCTTCGTTTTCTCCTAGGTAGTGCTGGTGACCCTCCACTTCCCAGGAGAATGATTCCAGACTCATTCTTGGTGCTGAAGGACAAGTTGATAATAGTTCCCACCACAACTGGCATAGGGGCCAACTCCACAAAACCAGGCTTAGGGAAGTTTACTATGTAAACATTCTGTGGTTAAAGGGATTAGAAACGAAAATTTAAATTAATGTCCACATCATTCTCCCTCTTTAAGGCACTCAAGATTATGAAAGACATTGCAATGTTAGACAAGATGAAATCCACAAAACCATTTCCATTAACAACATGGAATGTTTAAGAGGAGATATGTTAGTAACTTTGAATCTTCCAGGAAGTGTGAGTTAAATTCATCGAGCTCCTCTGATTTTGTTGTGGAACTTTGACTTAATATATGTGTTATTCTTGATAAATAACACTTCATTTTTGTTTAAATTGATTTTGTTAAACAGCTTTGAAATCATGGATCATGAGGGTTTTTTTTTAAAAAAAAACCCATCAACTACTGTTTCTATTTTGTGGGTGTGACATCAATTTATGTTGGCATTCTTCTTCAGTGTAACTTTAGTGGAAAGATGTTCCTCCATTCCCAACAAGTACAGTTATTCTGACACCAACACTGTATGAGGATAGCTTTTCAGAATTTGTCCTTCATTCATTTTCTCTTTCTCTCTTTTCTCCCTTTCTTCATTTCCCCTTCTTCAATTAAACTGAATTATGACAGAAATGTTTATCTGTAACTTATTTTACAACTAAATAGTCAGGGTTATTTATGTGTAAGCAAAGACAGATCTCATCATCTATTTTAGCGGCTGGAAGACTTTCAGTTTTCTGAAAATGTGCTGTAATTTATTTAAGGAAACCCATACATTTTAACATTGTGGGTGCTGAAAGTATTAATTTTTTAAATACCTGATTTTGCTGAAATTAAAGATTCCTTTAATGTAGGTTGTTTTCCTCTCACAGTGTTTCAGGTCCACTGAAGTGACCCGAGTGTGAGTAAAATGTGTAATCTATTTAAATTTTCAAATCATGGAGAGCTGGATAGTTCAGATAAAGCTACAGTGCAGACTTTTCAGAATTTAGCCACATCAAATTTCAGCCTCATTTTTTAGTTGCAAAGTAATTCCTGGTGACTGAAAAGAGTCTTTATGGAATCATCATTTCTAAACATCCAGGCTGTTTAATTTCTGGACAGTTTTCATCCTCATGCATATCTTTTGAATGTGGATGAGAGCAAAGGTTGGGAAGATTAAGACTCTTCAGTGAAACACCTTTTAAGAAACCAGTATTAATTCTGAGGGTTCTAATTCTTACTGTATTTTCCTTATTCTAAAGGTTCTCAGAGTAGAAATGTGAAATGAAACATGTGTTTGCCAACACTAAAGACCCCTTAGGTTATGTTTCAGTCTTCAAACCCCGTAACTTAAATGATGAATTATTTTTTTTCTTTCTCCTTATTCTGCATTCATTTCCCTAAGTGATCTAAAACAGACACCATTAAGGCAATTCAAGGTAATCTTGTATCAGAGGACTTTTGTGCTCATAGGGTTTTCAACCGTTCATTTTTTGGAAGCAGATATCATGAGCTTTCTTCCAAGTTACCTCTAGGTAGATTTGAACCACCAACCTTATGGTCAGCAGCCGAGCTTGATTACCCAGGGACAAGAACTGCCTAGCAGTACTTTAGAAAAATTAATTGAAGGAAGAATAAATATGGATATTTGTACCATCTCAGTTTAATTAAAATTTATAAGACTGATATATATATATACATATATAATATTTTATTTTTTAAACAAGCTTGTTAGTTCTGGGATTCTATAAAATTCTCATTAACATTTGCTGATGACAGTTGCCTCTAGTTTATAGATATTTTAAGAGATGAGAGCTCTGACCTGAATGAGATTCTCTCACGTATGGGTCAGTCCCTATTGAAGAATCAGTGCAGAATAAAGTAAATTAGGGGCTGCTTGAGTGTTTTGACAACAGAGAAGAGTTACTGAAGATACTAGGCCTTGGAGCTAAACTTTAACTTTTGGGTAATACAAAACCTTTCATTCTTGTTAATGAGAAGTTTCTGGAAAGTTGAACACCATAGTTTCTACCTTATGCCATTTTCAAAGGATTTTGATTTTCAAACTACATGTAAGCTATTGAATAATCATTATGGTATAAAATACTATTTGCTATTTGTGTTAATTTCATCTCCCTCTTATTCCAGAAAAGAATTAAGGCTGCAAATAATGCTATAAACAAATCAAGCTATAAAGACAAAATAAATTTAAATAGACAGCAGAAATAAAGAGAAAACAACAATGGAAACAGATAAAACCAGACAGGTGGTTATATAAACACACCCACAAACACACCCACACACACTCTGAAGTTCTATACATATGGGCAATGGGATGTTTATCAGACATTGTAATTAATATATTAATCTATTGTATTTAATGTTATAAAGTGAAAATGAATAACTGAATGAAATTATAATGACAATGTTATAAAACAAAATGGACACGGATGAGAGAAAAATCAATACAATTTAATTCTTAAACTTTTCTTCAAATAAAAAATTGAAAATAATTTTAGACCTTATTAACACTATTTGCTAAATTCAGTTGATCAAAAGGTTTCAATATTTACCACTTATGAATAACTACACTAACTTTATAAAGATGAAGGTTAGCAGGATTTGAAAATCCATTCGTGAGGGCTCGGTTGCTGTAACAGCAGTCATACAGTGTAAGTAAACAAGATGTAGATGTGTTTAGGGAAGTGTTACTAGCACACCAACCTCCAACGAACATCCTTTGGTGACGCCAACATAATCAGGGCTGCTGAGTATATTATATGGGGTTCTTGAGATTTCAATATCTCTGAGGCAGCCCGAGTATTTCTTCACATTTACTTCTGGCCTGTTGGAAGTTAAATAGAAAACAAATGCAATATTAGGGCAATGTCTGCGGTTCTTGACATGACTAGAAGCAAGCCACGAAAGCAAAGTGACACAACTGGCAAGCATGTTTGTCCACTTGCAAACAGACATACACACGTACCTCGCCATTTACAATTTTTATTATCTACTGAATGGATCTAACTGGGCTAACGAAGGTATATGTGACAGCGACAGTGAGAGTGTCCCAGGAGAGAGGAAATTTAAGAGCTGTTGTACCCACTGATATGAGTCATGGTCAATGCAAGAGAATACAACAACTAGTTGGATTAAGATGCAGTAGCATCATCTAGCATAAGGAGAATTACACAGTTTGACCTTTCCTTTTTCATTATTCAAAACATTTAAATACAGAGAAAGAAAATTATTGACTTCTACTAAATGTGGGAGAAGGATGTGCAATCTCCTTCCATGTGATTACTGCGTCTGAAAACCCACCAAGGGTCAGGTATAGGTCGATTCTGAAGGGACACAAGAATAACATTAAATGCTTAGGAGCCTTGGTGAGTTAATGGTCTCAACTGCTAAAATCAGTGGTTAAACCCACCAAATTCCCCATGGGAGAAAACTGTGGCAGTCCACTTCTCTAAAGGCTACAGCTGTGAAAACCCACTAGGGCAATTCTACTCTTACAGAGTCGTTATGTGTTGGAATTGACTTGAAATCAGATTTTATAGAGTAAACTCAAAGTTCTTAGAGTGGAACACCTACAGTATAAAGCAATAAAAACAAAGATATATTTAATTTTTCCAGTAAGCATTGGGGAAAAAATGGTTTTTACGGGCACTTCGGTGGCCTAGTTGTAAGAAGCTGCATATTAATCACAAAGGCTGGTGGTTCGAATCACCAGCTGCTCCACAGGAGAAGGCTGGGCACTCTCCTCTCCCGTGATTTACTACTGCTGGTAACCAGCTGGAGGGTCAGCTGTGGATAGGTGCTGACTCAACGGCACACAACAGCAACAACATCCCTATATAAAAGTTTCTGGGTGGTTTAAGCAGTGTGTGTTCAACTCGTAATCTAAAGAGAGGCAGTTCGAAAGACCTCGTAATATGCTTTTATAAAGACCACAGCTGAGAAAAACCTAGGGAACATTTATACCCTGAAATTCATGGGGTTGCCATGAACTGGAATTGATTTCTTGGCAGAGTGTGTGTGTGTGTGTGTGTGTGTTTGTGATTATGTACTCCTTGCTCACTACTTCTTAAAACAGGGTATATATTCCAGCTGATTGGAAAAGGAATCCTTACCGTTGAGTTCCGCATGTTGCGTTGGCTTAATTATTTGACATTCTACAGGTGATTTTTATTTGAGATTTACAGCCTTTATATGTAGAATAGATATAATGACAAACATGTAAATATGTGCAATGGATGTAATGAAAAATAGCACCTGTATTATCGAGTTGTGAAATTTGGATAACACAATGGACAATTCAATGTAATCCCTAGATCTCAGCAAGTGCTCAGTAAAAGCTGTTAGAGATGAAGAGAGTCCTTTAAATGTGCAGAAGCACTGTCAGATACATGCAAGAATTGTTCTGTACCCTCCAAGTGGGCAGCTATCAGCAGCATGTACCCCTGGCTCATGCCAATGAATAACACATATTTATTACCATTTAATTTTAATTTGTTTAACGTTGAATGGTCACTGAGGCTATGCTTGTGCTGCACAAGCCTATAGGGCTGAATAAGGTAACATTTTCTTTTTATGTTAATAATGATTTGTAGACTCTGCCAATTTTATACCAAAACGCTGTACTTATTTAAGGTACTAACTTTATCCTCATTGTTCCAGGAGTAATTTTTTAAAAACACTTAATAAAAATGCATGGCACCAGAGAAGACTGATGGGAAAGCATCTCATACCGAGGCCGTGGGTTCCAGGTGATTGATACCACACTAGGTAGGTATTTGTTCTGTTCTTTTTCCTTCTGTAATGGCTTTATTTTCTTTGATCATTTTCTCCTATTCCCAAGGTTGTCCCTTCCTGCTCAATTTTTCACTAATAATGTGTCCAAATGGAGGGTATGGGTCTTGTTTAGTTCTTCTTCTATATGTCAAAGGGGATGGGTACATTTTTTCAGGGAGTTCATTTGCTTCTGTTTTTGTCTCGAGGGGGAAGCTCATCCACTACAATTTTTGCCGTGGTCTTGTAATAAAGCATACCACTCTTACCAGTTATGTGGTCTGTTAGTTCACAGAAACACAAAGAATCACTTTAAAATATAATAATTTACTAAGCTTAGCGTTCTGAAAAAGAGGATAAGTAACTACATACCATCAGGTTCCTGATGTAACTGTGGACTTCTGATGGTTACCAGTCAAGGCTGAAGCAACTCACTACCACACTACACAGAGTCATCCAGAGATTTTTAGCATCTATTTCCACTGAAATTTTGGATTGGACTTTTAGTCCTAGCAGCAAGTACAGCATGACTGGCCTCATTGCTGCATTATGAAAACATAACTTGGGTTTGTTTTTTTCTTCCCACTTTCATTTCCATGTATTTTTGGTTTTGATAGTAAAACACTAGCCTTTTCTTTTAGAGTCCTTAGACCCTTTCATGTTTATTATTTCTAGGAATTGACACATCACAACTGAAATGGGAAAACACCAGGCTTTAGCACCAACCAGAATGTGCCAGCATTGCATATCTCTAAGATTAGATCAGCCACTTTCCAGGGAGCACTGCTTGCAATTTTCATGCTAATCCTTGTTTGTAAATTAGAATTAAAATGCCCCTGAGAAGCTAAGGAGGGTCCACAGACTTCTTCACCATTAATGCAAGCATTTGTCTGAAGCACAGTGTTTCCAGAGAATCCTTTTAACTGGTACTAGAGGTGAACACAGCCAGGTATAAGCAGTTCTGCCATGAGGTGCAGAGAATGTGTGAATGTTTGCACATTGGCAGCCTTGTGGAAAAGCAACAATGCCGAGGTAAGCATTTAGGAGCACGGGTTTATCTTTCATCCAGCAGAAAGAATGGCACTAGAGAGGCCAGAGTGACAGGTTCAGTCCTGGAGATAGAGGGATCACTTTGCTCTGTCACACTGAATTAAATCTGACCAGCTGTCTGGTGCATGTGTGCAAGTGGTCACCAGAGGTACCACCCATGATGATATTGAAAACATAAGCAGAGCAAATTCATGACCACTGCTGGTGAAACAGGTCACATTGCAAGCCTAATTGGTGGTGGGTAGGCAGCAGCATCTTTGTAAGCACAGGACAGCATGAGAAACATCTCAGGAGCATTATCTGCTCATGAAATGCTCTAGGGCTAAAGCTGCCAAGGTCGCTTTTTCTATATCATCACTTTACCCAAAGCCACATTTAGCCAATCCATGCAGTCAGAGAAGGCATGCATAAATTTAAAGTTTACCTTGCTTTCATACTAGGTCACAGGGAAGAGAAAAAGACAATTTACTTATAATTGCATTTTCATTTCGTAAAACAATTAACATTAATCATACGTCTCCAAAGAAAGCATGTGATAGAGAAAGAAGTACACTAACAATATAAAATAGGCATACACCCTTGACTATAGTGAAAACTGAACCTAAAAATGACCATTTGTTACACAGTTCTCTTGGAGAATTTTTATTTTGGAGTAAAACATGAAGAATCTAGATTTCTTTTAAATGATGAGAACATGTCTATGTCTATTCTATCATTTTCCTGCGTAATATTTAAGTATTCTCTGAAAGAGCTTAATTTTAATGAATTTTATCAAAATAATTTAGATTGTTGTTTCGCTTCTGTATTTTTTAAATTAATTTATTTATTTTTCATTTCAATGAACATCTACAGAGATTTTGGAATTCCATTCATTCATTGTTGCACCCTTCTGCCCACACACCCTCTCCCCCCTCCCCCGTTTGCTCCTCTCCTTGAAAAGCAAAAAAAAAAACCCCTCCCTCATTGGTACACAACATGTTGAAATTCCATCTGTGGGCAAATGCTATATTAACTGTGTGATTGGCTACTTTATCAGTTACAAAAACACATCTAAAGAGAATTTTGAAGTAGTATAATATACTATAGAGGCATTATTCATATGAAATGCATTGTAAAAGTAGCAATACCTTAGTGATACTGAAGCAAAGATTCATTGAATAGGCACTTTGATAATCAACTAAAATATAAACCTATATTAAATTAATATGCATATATTTGTAGATAATTTCTAGAGTTATGATAATTAAGACCCAGTCAATTTTACCAGGAGAGGTAAAATTTTTGATAGTCTTATTTTGGGCATATTTCACTCATTGTAGACTATAGGCATTGATATTGCAGATAAATCTTAGATTTGAACAACTACTGAATTTCTTTTATTTAGTATAGTATATCTGTACATAAATAGACAGTCAACAAGCCTTTGTTGAATGGATGATGAATATGTAAATTTTCAAGTAATAATCATGCCACTGTTCAAAACATTTCATTTGTAATTATTTTCCTGACCAGGCAAGTTATGTTTATAACCAAAGCACAAGAAAAATTATAATGTATCATTAAATTAATCAACTTATATCACTTGCTGCAGAAGATCAAGGACTGCAGCCTCCAATATGGATTGAGGCTCATTGTCGAGAAGACAAAGATTCTCACCACTGGACAAATTGGCAGCACCAGGATGGATGGTGAAGAGATTGAAATTGTTCACAGCTTTCGTTTGCTTGGCTCCAAGGTCAACACACTTGGCACCAGTAGCCAGGAAATTAAAAGATGTATTGCCTTGGGAAAGTCTGCTGTTAGGGACCTCTCCAAAGTACTGAAGAGCAATAGTGTCTCTCTATGATACAGGCCATGGTCTTTGCTATCACTTGTTATGCATCAGAGAGTTGGACAATAACTAAGGAGGACAGAAGGAGAAATGATGCCTTTGAGCTGTGGTGTTGGAGAATAGTGTTGAGGGTACCATGGACTGCTAGGAAAACAAACAGATTCATCCTGGAAAGGGTTAAATAGGGTGGCTCTCTGGAGGCAAGGATTCTGAGGCTCCGTCTAACATACTTTGGACATACTGTAAGGACGGACCAGTCCTTGGAAAGGGACATCATGCTTGGGAGGGTGGAGGGACAGCGCAGGAGGGGATGGCCCTCTATGAAGGGATTGATTGAGTGACTGGGGTAATCAGGATGGGAGTGTCAGAGACAGTGTGATTGGCACAGGACAGAGTAGAGTTTAGGGCTGTTGTACATAGGGTCGCTATGAGTCTCAGGCGACTCGACGGCACATAACAACAACAACAACAATCCTTGGAATATTAGTGACATCTAGAGAAAAGAGTAAACCTAAATCTAGGTGTTATCAAAGATAAAATGAGAGGGAAGTTTCAGTATTCTTTTGGGAAATTATAAGGTTAATTGATCACCATTATTTCTCAACAATTCCAAAATCTCCCATCTTAATGCAACTTTTTAGAGTAGAAACATACAGGCAGGGCTTTAATCACAATAAAAAACTAAATACTAATAGAGGAGAGGGGGGAGTAATCATGGGGTTGGACAATTCGATGAATGGGGGAGTGAGAGAAATGGAAAGATTCTGTTCTGGAAAACAATGTATTTGAATTTTGTAAATAAATTAGTATAATGATGATAATAAATAAAAATATGTACAGCTTCAGAAACCCAAGGATTCAGGGTCAGTTGGGCAGCAATAGGTTTGATCTTTCTAAACATTAATTTATATATTTTTAATAATGTTTTCACATGCATAAAAACAAAACAAACTAAATAACAAACAAATCTTAGAACAAGTTAGTCTAAATTTATAGTAAACTCATGGTTTGACCAAATGAATATAATCCAAAGTAATTAAATTCACTGAACATTTATTGAGCATCAAATATTCCATAGATTGTATTTCTTATGCTTTTTTATGAGACAAAAATTAATAAATGCCATACAAATGATGCCCTAAAATAATATATTTGTGGATTTTATTTAACTATTCAACTATGAACCCCAAATGCAACCCTATCCTCTAGTTGCAAAGCCATTTATAAATTTGAAAGATAATGTTGGCATAAGCTTGAAAATAACTGGCAAGTTCAAGGATTAAGCATATAGGAATGCGTCAATATACTATAAAAATGTTAATACTTGCAAAAACCAGGTTGCAGTGATATGTTCTGGAATACTGACTAATTTTCAGAACATTAAGCAATGTCAGTGTACCACTATCTCTGGTGAATATTCAGTGAAAACAAAATTATAAGATCCAAATTCAACTCTGACTTCCATCTTTAATTACTTTCTTAATACTTTTCATTAGGTGCATATGAAGGAACTAGTGGTTCTAATCTATTTCTTCTGCAAAGATGTCAAATTAATCCTTTTGTTTCTCAAACCTAGTGGTGTTCTAACATGTAGTGTGGATTTTTTTTATTATTAGGATTTTCTGCATCTAAAGGTTATATGACAAGCCCTGTTATAATTAAATTTGAGAACTCTAGAGAGTATAGTGGCCATTTAATTAAAACTTAATCTTCAGCTCTAAATATAAACTAAATTACCTCAAGTTCCTCAGGGTTGGCAAGCCACCAAAATATATTTTGTCATCTGCTTTCAAGTCCAAACCAAAGTTGTTGCCAGTTGAAGAAGTTGCTATGTTCTCCTCCTGGTTAGTGTCTATATCTACAATTGATATGTTGGCTATAAAAGAGGCAGAAAAGTTAATATTTTATGTGATAAATACCAACAATCTTTGTATCACCTCTATTACTTTAAGATGGATTTAGTTTCATTCTCAGATTAAAATTGACTTCCTCACACATTGAGTCATTTAATGATTGCAAAAATAATAATGACAGTGAAGTACATTATCCAACCATTCATAATATGCATGGAAGGAACCATTCCAGCAACTCTCCGAGGATGAAAGAGAGATCCTCAAATGCATATAATAGAGCAAGTTGGTAAAGTTTTTCACAATATACATGAGGAATTTGAAAGACTAAAAATAGAAAATTATTATATATTGTAATAGGTTTCTAAAATACTTGCTATGCATCAGAGAGTTGGACAATGCCTAAGGATGACAGAAGAAGAATTGATGCCTTCAAATTATGGTGCTGGAGAAGAGTCTTGAACATACCATGGACTGCCAAAAAACCCCCATAAAAACCCAAATAGGTCTGTCTTGGAGAGAGAGAAACCAAGTTTCTCCCTGGAGGCTAGGATTTTGAAGGTCTGTGTCACATACTTTGGGCATGTGGCTAGGAGACACTGGTCTTGGGGAAGGACATCATGCTCAGATGAGTGGAGGGAAAGTGCAAGAGAGGAAGATCCTGGATGAAATGGATTGATAAAGTAACTGGGATAATGGGGTTCCTATGTCAGATTTAGTGAGACTGGCTCAGGACAGGGCAGGTTTCAGAGCTGCTGTACATGGAGTCGCAGGTCACTCGAGGGCACATAACAACAACTAGAAATTAGATAATTAACGTGAAATTCATTGATTCTGTGACTCATCCTATAAACTTCAGGATCTACAGAATTACTGGGATGTAGACGCATGTGCAAAGCATTAACCCTTGTGTAAGATAATTGTGTGTAAAGGTGGGGAGAGGAGAATCTGATAAGTGATGGAAGTTGCATCCCCTGAAAAGCTGTTTTACACGGGAGATGCTGAGGGTTGTAAGAGACACATTCCTCTAAAGATACTCTGATATGCTGATAGAAATTCAGAAAGAGGAAGGAAAGGACAAAGAAGAAAGATATTTAAACTGACCTTAAAAAGACTTTAAACTGCTTCGTATAGAAAGCAGATGGGACATTTTAGTTTGTTGATTTTTTTTCTTTTTCTTTTTCTTTCTCCCCTCATTCTGAAAAAGCCAAGCTAGGTTTTCCTCTAAATTATGTTCTTTCTCACACAATATTTGCCTCAGCCTAACATTTAATAACTTCATATATTTGGATCCTGATGCATATTGAAGTATCAGGTCATTAGCATGACAAACTAGGTCTCTAAATCCTTGTCTGATATGTTGTTGTTGTTGTTATGTGCCGTTGAGTCGCTTGCGACTCATAGCGACCCTATGTACAACATCCCTAAACTCTGCTCTGTTCTGTGCCAATTGTACTGTCTCTGACACACCCATCCTGATTACCTCAGTCACTGAATCAATCCACCTCATATGGGGCCTTCCCCTTCTGCACTGTCCCTCCACCCTACCAAGCAAGATGTCCCTCTCCAAGGACCTGTCCCTCCTTGCAACATGTCCAAAGTATAGAGGGTTAATAATGTTCTGAAAATGGACATTTGAATCAATCAATTGGAAGGTCATTTCCAAATGCGTATTCCTTAAAATACAAGATTCCTTGATATTCCTAGGTCAAATATAACTAAATACCACTGGTTAAGGCAAACTTAATTTTATGAAAGCCCAGAGCTTTTAACATCCTAGGATGCAATGTAATGCTAAAGAAAGCAGCATGAAGCATGCAGTTTCTCCCCGATATATTTCAACAAACATATTATTAATATTTTCCTTCAACTCATCATCTCTTAGGACTAGATCTTTTTAGAAAACACAAAGGAATATCAAATGTCAAAAACCCATTGTGCTCCACAGTCTTTGCATTCTAAAAATATTTTCACTAAAACCATGCACATATTTACCTAATTAAAAAAGAAAGAAAGCTGTTAAAACTTCAGACTCTCAAAGCTGACTTCTAACAAACTACAAAGAAAACCATCCTATTAAAAGTATTTAGCACATTTAAGATTGAAAATATTTAATTCATTTTAATAAACATATTAGAAGAGGTTAGTTCATCTACTTGGTCCAGTGGCTAAAAAGAAAAAGAAATGAGATTTCAGAAATGCTTTTCATTACTTTTCCTCACAAATTCTTTTTCATCCAGATAAGCAAAGAAGTTTTCACATGGGACTGTTGACTAGAATATGAAAATAACCTCTTTTTACAGACCTGATGATATTTTAATGATGTGTGTGAAAATGAGATTCTGCTTCTCTATCACAGGCAAGCCAATGACTAGAAGTGGTTTTCCTTCTTATATCCTTGAGTGACTATATGCATTTTTAGAAATCATTCTAAGAAAAACTGCTTAAAGAGTGGCAACACAATGGAATTGAAATCCACTGGCCCAAGAGTTAAGTCTGGCAAAGAGATGTTGAATGGCATGTTTTTACCTATTCAAAGGAGAGCTTTTGCTCGACCTTTCATGAGTGATAGCAATGAAGCAGAGGGTGCTGTGAAATGCTAACACTAATCCCTGTTTCTTGTCTTTTCAGAATAGAGCAATTATCTATTAGCACAAATATAAGTTGACAAATATAGACATCATTTATGAATGTGTAGAGAAATTGAAGTTTTATTAAATACTAAACAAAAGGAACACCTTCATAAGTATTATATAATCAATGCAGAGTTGTTATAAGCCAGTTGATTTTACTTTGGTATTTTTCTTCTTACTCGTAATTCATTCAAAATCTAAACAATCTTTCTGAACCTTGTTTCCACATGAACACAAAGGGATATACTGGGGTATACTGTTGCTGTTGTTTGTCATGAATTGTGACCCTATGAGAAGCTTGGGAAGACAAAACATAGTATTATAATGAAGTGTGCAAAGATCTAGGATTAGAAAATCAAAAGGGTTGAAACTCGCTCAGCATTTATTAAGCTGAAGGAACTGAAGAATAAATTCAACTCTTGAGTTGCAATAGTCAAAATATAGAATGATCAAGGCAGCATCAAAAGAAATTGGAAGGAGTACACAGAGACACTGCACCAAAAAAGAACTGACCGACAAAGAAATATATCCTAAAACAACTTATATTCAAGAAGCAATAATGATGAAGGAGGAAGTCCAAGATATTCTGAAGGAATTTACAAAAACATGGCCTCAGGAATTGATGGGATAGCAATTGACATATTTCAACAAACAGATTCAGCCTGGGAAGTGTTCCCAGGCTGTGCCAAGAAATCGGGAGGACAAACACCTAGCCAACTGACTGGAAGAGATCCATATTTATTCCCATTTAAAAAAAAAGAAAAAAAAAGATGATCCAATAGTGTGGATATTATAGAATGTTATCCATTAATATCAAACACAGTAAAGATTCTGCTGAAGGTTATCCAAAAGCAACTGGAATAGTACATTAACAGAGACTTACCAGAGATACAAGCTCTCTGATACATAGTTGGTACTCAAAAAATATTTTTTTATTCAAGTTTAATTTATTATACACATAAGTGGCTATTCTCTCAAGGGTTCCTTTATATTTTAATTTAAATTTCATGGTACTAAGTGTGATCTTTGAATATTGCTACTACTGGTAATTGATAATATTCTTTTTTAAGAAAAGGAAGAAGTTTTATATATGGAATCAGACTCACACAATTGTTGAAATAGTGAGTGAGCAAAAGGTAGGGAGAATGCTGTCTTAGTTTCCTGGAGCTGTTGGGACCAAAAACCACAATGCTTATAAGAGCAGAATGCTTATAAGCTAAAATTTAGTATCTCTCAGTTCTGAAGGCTAGCAATCTGAATTCAGGGTGTTGGCCGGACTTGTTTTCTTCAAAACTATTAAGGTAAGATTCTTTTTTGGCCCTCTCAGCCTCTGGTAGATGCAAATATTTCTTTAATAATAGATGCATCTTCTCATTATCATCCTCAGTCTGTTTTTCTGTCTTCTCTCCTCTCCTATACAAACACTTTCAGAAGGTATTAGGACTCACCCCACTCCAGCAGGACCCCATGTTCATGGATAACATTTTTAAAGACACTATTTCTAAAAGAAATATCATGCTCTTGACACCAATGTTTAAGTTCTTAGCATATCTTCTTCTTGTTGTTGCTATTGTTGTGTACCGTTGAGTCAGAGCAGAGCAATAGCTGATCCTCTAGTGGGTTTTCAGAGACAGTAAATCATATGGAGGGAGCACAGTTGAATCCATAATATATTTGGTTAAGAAATCTGGAAGTCCAAAATTTCATGGAGCTTCTGTTGTCACTAATGCTGAAATGAAGATCCTCAAAAAGAGATCTCAAGTCACTGAGAGCCAGCACTGAAGAGGGCGTGTTGGCAGCGCTGGGGGGCCAGCCCGCGGCTCAGACAGCCTCTGCTCTGCTGCTGGAGAGTAGGTGCCTTGTTCCTTTGTATCTGCCAAGTGTAGTGAGGAAGTTTTTTGCTTGAGGAGTCTATCTAACTCTACAGGTCGACAGGCAGCGAATTTTGTCTTTGTAGCTTTATGCATGGTATTGCCTGGGTGGTTGTAAGACAAAGCGTAGGAGGGGAGAGAATAACACCAAGTTTCACCAAACTTCAGTAAGGTATTAGGAATGATATCCTTTTATAATTTTTCCTTTTAGAGAATATGCAAATAAACCCAGTATAAAGGAAATTAATAGACAATGCAATAATTCAGTTGACACTGAGTTGTTTCAGATTCATGAGAATTCATGTATGTCAGTTTCCTGAAAAACCCTACACAAAGTTTTCAGTGGCTGGTTTTCAAAGTTTTTTTGAGGTAGATTTCCAGGCCTTCATTTTCCCCAAGGCACCTTTGAATGGAGTAGAACTGCCAACTCTTTGGTTTGTGGTGAAGTTATGTTAACGTATCTCACTACTTAGAATCTCCAAACACTCAATAGGCTTCTTTTTTTTTTTTTTTTTTGCTATGAATAATATAAAAATAAGGGTCTAACCTATATTTCCAGATTATTATAGTCTTGTATTCTGCTGAGATTATATTTTTAACAACATATTAAGAATATGAATTAGTTTTCCATTTTGTCAATTATCTGTTTATAATTTTCTATTGTGACTCCTACACTTTTTAAGAAAAATAAACTTGTTAGATGCTTTTGATTAGTTCTAACTCATACAGACCCTAGGACCATATACCATAGAAAAATACTCTCTGATTCTATAACCTCTCACAATTTTTGCTGTGTCTGAGGTCACTGTTGTAAACACTGTGTCAATCTGTCTCCTGGAGAATATTTTCTCTTTATCTTACTGACCCTTTACTAAAAATGATGGCCTTCTCCAAGGGTTGGCATCTCCTGGTAGCATGTCCAAAGTAAGTGAGAGAGTCTCACCATTCTTTTTCTTTTTTTTAAGAAAAAAATATTATTTTTTTGTGTATGTGTACCGTCAAACAGGCTCTGACTGTTTCAGGAGGAGATTGCCCCTCTCTCTCCAGCAGAGCATCTGGTGGATTCGAACCGTGTGCCTCGGATTGCAGTTCAGCTTCTTGCCACTATCATTCTATCTTTTAAGGACATTCTGACTGTACTTGTAAGGCAAAATTATTCACTCTTCTAGTGATTATTTGGTGCTGTTGAGTTGAGTACATCTCACAGTGATTCTATGAAAAACAGAACTGGACCTTGTCTTGTTCTGTACCATCTTCATTATCTCTGACATTATTTGAGCCCATTGATACAGTCACTGCGTCAATCCATCCCATTGTGGGGCAGGGAGCTTTTCTCTTTAGCAGATCCTTCATCTTTCCAAGTATTATGCCCCTTTCCAAGTAATAGCCTCTCTGAGCAACATGTCCAAATTATGAGAATGAAGCTTTGCCATCTTTGCTTCCGAGGAGCACTTTGGCTGCACTTTTCCCCAGACATATCTGTGTCTTCTTGTTTCTCCTTAGTCATGAACACCATAATTCAAATGCACCAGCGCTCCTTCAGTCTTCATTATTCATTGTCCTATTTTCACATGATTATGAGGTAGCTGAAGACACCTTAATCCTCAAAGTGACATCATTTAAAAAATATTTTAAAAAGATATTTCACAGCATATTTTCCAAATGTAACGTGTGGCTTGATTTCTTGACTTTAATTTCATTGGATGTTGTTTGTGGATTCAAATAAAATTAAATGTTTGTTGTTCATATTGTTAATTTGTCTACTAGAATAATAAATACAATGTCTTAAGAGAAAAAGCAATGTATACAAACTTTGTAAGTAAACTACTACAAAATCAACAAACAAAAAGAAAGTTGCAGATACACTTTTTTAAAAAAAAGAGTAATTGAGGAAAAAAGAGTATATGAGAATATGTGGGCAACTAGAACAACTTCAGATGAATTCATTTTAATTCTGTTTTCATCTGTTTGTTGGCAAAATTGGTAGTAAATATCTCAGATCACAAAGCATGGCCACAAACATGGGGAGGAGAATGAAGATGTTCTCAATTTTTTCACCAGCTCTGCAGTGTTAGCCTGAAGTTGGCTTTGTTCCATTACCTTAGTGCTCTCTCATCTCCATCTACCTTAAGTGCAGACACACGGTCTTGCAAATTATCAACAGCTATGGGACTAGGATAAGTGCGAGCCCTTCTCATACTTAGAAGACTTGAGAGAGACTGGAGCAAGGGCCTGGTGAGGGCAAGACTCTGGTGATAGTGGTGGAGAGATTGTGGCAAGGTGTAACCACAGGAGTCTTGAGGCAAAGGCTGCAGTCAAAGGTATTGCTGTATTTGCCATTAATTGAGGAGAAGTTGACTTCTAACTGCTCTGAGCAAACCTTGCTAGATGATTGAGAAAACCAGAAGCTTTTTGGATTTATACTACTGAACTGAACTGGGATTTTTACTAATTAAGGAAGTATGTTTTGTTGTTAATCTGGCTTGGAACTTTCAACTAAACCTGGACTCATATTGTGCAATATTCTTTGCCCTTCCTATTCTCCAACCTATTTCCCTAACACTCCTCTTGGTACCAAAACAGTGAGTAAGGTCTCTGAGTCAACAACAAATAAATGAACCTCTTGTTGCTGATGTGACTCTAGAGGCTCCATGGGGCTGGGCTACAGGCTTTTTATCTGCTTTCTACTCTGGGCTGGTGAGGGGCTGTGCTATTCTCATGACCTCTGGCCCTTTCAGAACGATGTTCATGATCCTGTGCCCCCATGTCCTATTTGCTGTTCCTTTCACAAACTTTTTATTTATTTTTTTCTTTGTGATTTGAGTGAAAGTTTGTACAACAAATTGGTTTTTCACTCAAGTAGCCATACATATTTGGTTTTATAACATTATAATTATACTTCTTTCAGTCAGTCTGCCAGAAAGCTCTCCTCCAAACTTCCTGGCATTGACTGGTGAGCACGTCCAGAGCTGCATTTGTTAGTTGAAACCTGTCAACTGGTATCTCAGTAATTCTTGGGGTCTTATTTTTTGCTAGTGTCTTCAGTGTAGTTTGAATTTCTTTCTTAGTCACCATTGGCTCCTGATCTTGTATCTATCTGTAACTAACTGTAAGCTTGAGTTTTTCCCTTTTCTTTAATATCAGAACAAACTATCTGTTTATATGTTCAAAGAATGCATTACAAAGTACTTTGAAGAGATAAAATTATTATTAACTAGTTATTTGCTTATGTGCATCATATTTGTAGAATATTTAAAAAGTGAAGCACAGATAGCGTTTCCCTGTCACTCCTACATATTCAAACTGTGGGTTGTTCTACTGAAATATGTTAGCAAAACGAAGAAAGGAAAAAAGAAGCAGAAAACTTCTCTCAAATCTATTACAGGGTATAATTTTACGAGTTGTAAGACAATTCTATGCTTTCAAATTAAGCTCTCAGTTTCAAAAGAAAATGATAGAGAACCATTTGGCTTTTCAATCAGTCATGTCTAACCCACACCACCTATAATCTAAGCAATAGAAAGGACGCATCAATTTTTCTGAGAACTTGTGAGCACCTGAAATTACAGGTGGGGTCATCCTCAGGATTAGGTACACAGGCGCTTTTGGGTAGTCTGATTAAAGCCCGTGCCATGGTATTACTATAAAAACTCACCTTGTTTTTGAATTCTTGACAGGGTGAATGATTTCCATTTCCCATCATTGTGGTTTTGATTGCTGACAACGGAAGCCATTCCTGAACCCAGATCGTAGCTGACTTTTATGTGCCCATCCATAAGCTCTACACTCATGAAATCTTTCTATTAACAGCATAAAAAGAAAGCGGTGGTTACATGCACAGAGAAATATATGTATTTGCTTTACTTTAATGTTTAAAGACTGCATCTATGGCTAAATTAATGAATATATTGCCTTGTAATAAAAAAAATCTATATTGGTAAGAGAATTGACATTGCTATTATTGTGTATTTGTGTGAATGGTAATGTTATTTTGCAAAGTTACACTCAAATTACTGGCATGAATCCTTTCATTTCAGAGGTGTGAAGTGAGCATTTCTGAAAATATTAAACAAATCAAAAAGTATTTTTTAACTAACTTACTAATAAATATTGATCTTGAAGGAAGTGAATAAGAATATTTATGATTCTTTTTAAATTTAAATATCTGGAAGAAGAATAAAGAAGTAGATCTCTCTCACCCCCAAATATTTCTACTCTGGGAAAATCTTAATGCTTCTCTTGAAAGGATTGTATTGAAAATACATAGTAATTAAATATATCTGTGAGTAAATTTATCAGTAAACATATATAAGCACTTGTCAGTACATCTTAACTATCACGCATTCATACCAGGCTCCTTTTAATTGTTTTAGAGAAATTTAAGAATAATAAAGGTTTTTATTAGAATACTAAGGAAAAAACACAGGCACATTTTCAATTATAGGAGAGTTGCTTTACATATATTTACCAGGTCTCGTGTGGCAAGGTACATCAGAAGAGCATTTGAAGAAAATGTCCTGAACTTGAACATGACAGTGGAGATGTTGGGGAACCAGCGAATAGGGCGGCTGACCAGTGCATAACCTTCTCCATCAAACTGAATGGTCCCCTCACGATCTTCTACCTGAGGACTGGAGAGAAAGGCATTTCGCATCATGTAGACATTGTTTACTTATACCTCACATCAAATGTCCTCTAGAACAAGAAAATAAATTGCTTTAACACTGGCATAAGGAGCCCTGATAGCATAATGGTTAACAAATTGAACCATTAATGAAAAAGATCACTGCTGTGAACCCACTAGCTCTTCCATAGAAGAAAAACAAAGCAGTTTTGTGTAAAGATTTAGAATCTTCCTTACGACCCAGCTATTCCACTTCTTTGAATATACCCTGAGAAAATGAGAACTGAGGCACAAACGGAGACTTGTACACCAATGTTCAGAGCAGCATTATTCACCATTGCAAGAACATGGAAAGAGCCCAAATGTCCAACCACAATGGAATGGATTGAGAAATTATGGTACATTCACACAGTGGAATACTATGCAGCACCAGGAGCAATGATTTTGTAAATTACTACCTAACCTGGGAGGTACTGGAGAACATTATGCTAAGTGAACTAACTGAGTCTTATAAATACTGTCTAAAACCATTATTGTAGAACAAGTATGAGGATCCAAGGGGGGTGGGTGCTTAATCATAGGGTCGTACAATTTGATGAGTGGAGGGAGGGATGGGTAAAGGAAAGGGGAAAGATATGGTGTGAAAAACAATGTTTACGAATTTTATGAACTTTGTATGTAAAACAGTATAAAATTAAAACAACAACGAAAAAGCAAAGCAGCAACAACAACAAAAAAAGAATAATGCGAAATTTGGAAATGGATAATGATGGTTGAAAAACATGATAAGCATAATTAGTGCTACTAATTTGTTACAAATATAAACTTTTTTTTTCTATAATTATATTTTATTAATTTTCATAAACATTTACAGAGATTTTGGGTTTCCATTCATTCATTGTTGCACTATTCTCTCTACCCTCCTCCCAGTTTGTTCTTGTCCAAATGCCACAGTGCTTGTCAAAGCCAGTTCTGATTAATCTTCTTTGTCAGTGTGTCCTTTGCCATTCCCTATCACTCCTCCCTGAGAGAGACTTCACCCTGAGTCATAAGGAAAAGGGGATGGCATATTCTCTTAGCTACTTCCTGCTGAAAAGGGACGCTGTGGGTTTCAGGGTGAAGATCTTCTCTCACTACTCTAAAGGGCCCCTTTGGCAGTAGGAAACACATAGACTATTATGGAGATTGATTTTGGAATTTAGATGCACTCTTATTGATTGTGCTTGGCCGTACATGTTCATATCCTTGAAGATGTATCATGGGGGTGTTGCAACCTAGAAGACACAAATTTGACTAACAAGTTATAAGTACATGAGTCCAAAAATTATGGAAAAGTAAAAGAAAAGATTCTTTCATTGTTTTACAAACCCTCCCCCAGGTCCCCGACACCATGTAGCCCTCGCTCTAGTCTCCTGTGATGACAGAAATACCTAGTTATATATCTCTTTTAAACAGTTTTCTCCCTCCTCTGTTTCAGTGCAGTATACATTATTGAACCCATCTTACTCAGTCTCTCCCCAACCCCAAGGACAGTCCCATTCTACAACAGTGGCATCATGTAATATTTGTCCTTTTGTGACTGGGATATTTCACTCAGCATAATGTTCTCCAGAGTCAACCATTTTGAATAATATTGCATGAGTTCCTTGTTTTTTAATGCAGCATAGTATTCCATTGTGCGAATATACCACAGCTTCCCTAGCCATTCATTTATTGATGGGCACTTAGGTTGTTTCCAACTCCTTGCTATTGTGAACAAAGCTGCAATAAACATGGGTGTGCATATATCTGCTTGGATGTCAGCTATGGTCTCTTCAGGGTATATTCCCAGAAGTGGAATTGCTGGGTCAAATGGTATCTCCATTTGCAACTTTTTGAGAAAGTGCCATACTGCTTTCCACAGGGGTTGCACCATTTTACACTCCCACCAACAGTGAATCAGGGTTCCAGTTTCTCCACAACCTCGCCAGCATCTGTTGCTTGCTGTTCTGTTAAATTTTGCTATTTTGATTGGGGTGAAATGATATCTCATAGTTGTTTTAATTTGCATCTCTCTTAGGGCTAGGGATTTTGAGCATTTCTTCATGTGTTTGTTAGCCATCTGAATGTCGTCTTCGGTGAAGTGCCTGTTCATATCCTGTGCCCATTTTTCTATTGGATTATTTACCTTTATCTTGTTGTGGTGCTCAAGTACAAATATAAACTTACCAAAGAAAAAAAAATCATATCTTAAAAACCATATGGACAATTATACTCTGTTCTACTCTGTCCCAGAAGCTTGCTGTCAATCAGAATTGGGGAACTCTGATGGTTTAATGGGAAAGAATTGTGCTGCGAACACAAAAGTACAGTGTTTGAATCCACCAGCTACTCTGTGGAACCAAGAGGACAATCTCCTCCTGTACAGGTCACTGCCTCTGAATATCTGCTGGAGGGTCAGCTGTGGGTCAGCTCTGACTTGATCCTAAACAACAATCCAGAATCAATTCAAATATATCTTTGAACTTTTGAATTCTTTCCATTCTAGCTACCATCTGGACTTGTTAGTTCATCTGTTCCCTCGAATGATGTCTCACTGGAATCTAAACTCTATTCACAGGCAAAGTAATTGATTCTTGGAATCTCTAACACATTGTGCTTCTTGATCCCAGCGTTCCCTTTTATACGTCTGTTTAAATATCATTTCCCAGAAAGTAACATCTTAGACCATATGCTGTTGTTGTTGTTAGATGCTATGGAGTCAACCATGACTTGCAGATAGCTGGAAGCAACAGATCAAATCCTTGCCCTGTTCTGCACTATTGCTTTGATCTTTGCCTTGTTCAAACACACAGTTGTAGTCACTGTGTCAATCTTACTTGTTGAGGATCTGTCCTTTTCCTGACCTTCCCCAGTATGATGTCTTTGTCTAAAGGACAGATTTTTGTATTGATTAATATTCTCATATTTATCAAGTAAGCTACTTTCAAGTTCTTTTCTAAATCCCATTATTAAATATAGGTATCTTCAACTATTTAAACATTTCTTATAATATGGTATTATTTTTAACTTAAATTCACTACTTGAAATCTAAAATCATTAATTTATATGAATGACATAAAAATATAAATCTGGAAAGGAAAATTCGGATATTTTCCTGCTGCATTTAAGTTATTCTTCCATTTCTTGCCTATAGAGTTAAAGAGAATTCATTATATTCCTGATTTTTTTTTCTACTTTCTCCCTGAAATTTTAGCCCTTAAGGATTTAAGGATTTTCTAGATCTGATCATACTTATTGGCATTCTGGGTTCAATTACGATAGTACACACATCCTGAATGCATTATTTCCTTGTACACTGTAGTAAATGTTCCTTGAATGTAGAAGGAACATTTCATTTGCATGTAGTTTCATATACGATCATTAAGTAATGTGCAAAAATATATCTCCTCAAGATTTCAGCAAATATTTAATAACTAGGTTACTGGTGATATACAAGCTTCATCTTTTCCAGAAGTACTTGATAAATGGTTATACTAGTATTTCAGTGTATCCTGGTGGTATTTATATAAGCTGTGACATTCTGGATAAGCTTGTATTGAATTATTATATTTCTTGTTATACATTTGGAATATAAGCCCTTGTCCTCTGAGTAGTCTCCATCTAACACATTTTCTGAGACAGACTAGCTAAACATAGGGAGAGTGCATCTCTCTCTGTATTTGTTTGTATCTTTCATGAAAATTTAAGTTGTACAAGAACTGTGAAGGATTGTGGGCCAGACCCTGTAGCACTCATAAACTTACCATCTAATGGGAGACTTGGCTCATAGAAGAAGCCAGGGAGTGTTTAGGGAATGAAATTTTGTATAGTCAAGTTTAGTACAGAAAATACATGACTAATAAATTACTGGTAGAATAATTCAATATATTTACTAGTAAAGCTGTAGGATATACCACATTTTAAAATATTTTTGTTGAATGTAATCTTTTATTTGCTATAGAGTTAATATAAATTATGAAGATATATTTTAACACCTAAAATATAGCCATATCAGTGTATAGTATTTTAGAATATATATGATTAGAGTGTTGTATTAAATCTGGGGTAGGGATGAGAAATTGAGAAATAATATAGTAATCCAACTTTAATATAATACAATAGAATATTGTAATCATGAATTCTAGGTCAATGAGAAAAATAATGGAGCACATAAAATATTGGGTTTCTTGTGAAAGAACTGTACATATTTTAGATAAACTGTCTTTATGTTCTTGAATAGAGGGAAGCAAAATGGTGAGGACAATAAGAAGGAAGAGTCTTGTCCATACAGTACAGGGCTGGAACTTTGCTAAATTTAATTATACTGAATTTGTAATGACATATGATTTTATCAGAAAAAAATTTCTTCTATAAACTTAAAAGCTGATTTTTCAATATTGACGAAAAAGCTAACAGAAAATGAGTGGCATTAAATGAATCTATTAACAGTACAATGTTGTTGTTGTGCCGTCGAGTCATTTCCGACTCATAGCGACCCTGTGCACAACAGCTCTAAACCCTGCTCTATCCTGCGCCAACCGCACCGCCTCTGACACACCCATCCCGATTACCCCAGTCACCGAATCAATCCATCTCATAGAGGGTCTTCCCCTCCTGCGCTGTCCCTCCACCCTCCCAAGCATGATGTCCCTCTCCAAGGACCTGTCCCTCCTGGCAACATGTCCAAAGTATGTCAGATGAAGCCCCAGAATCTTTGCCTCCAAGGAGTAGCTTGGTTTAATCCTCTCCAAGATGAATCTGTTTGTTTTCCTGGCAGTCCAGGGTACATTCAGTACCCTTCTCCAGCACCACAGCTCAAAATCATCCACTCTCCTTCTGTCCTCCCTAGTCATTGTCCAACTCTCTGATGCATAACAAGCGATTGCAAATACCATGACCTGTATCAGGCGCACCTTAGTCTCCAGAGAGACACTGTTGCTCCTGAGTACCTTTGAGAGGTCCCTAACAGCAGACTTTCTCATCGCGATACGCTTTTTGATTTTCTGACTGCTGGTACCAAGAGTGTTGACTGTGGAGCCGAGCAAACTGAAGCTGTGAACACTCTCAATCTCTTCGTCATCCATCCTGATGCTGGTAATTGGTCCAGTGGTGAGAATCTTTGTCTTCTTGACATTGAGCCTCAGTCCATACTGAAGGCTGCAGTCCTTGACCCTTCACAGCAAGTGCATGAGGTCCTCCTCAGTTTCAGCAAGCAGGGTTGTGTCATCTGCATAACGGAGATTGTTAATAGACCTTCCACCAATCCTGATGCCACAATTCTCCTCATAGAGCCCAGCCTCTCGGATAATCTGCTCTGCATACATGCTGAAAAGGTATGGAGACAGGATGCATCCCTGGCGTACACCCTTCCCAATTTTGAACCATGCAGTGTTACCCTGCTCTGTTCTGACTACCGCCTCTTGGTCCAAGTATAGGTTTCGTATTAGCACAATTAAATGTTCTGGGATTCCCATTCTTCTCAGAGTCAGCCACAGTTTGTCATGATCCACCCAGTCAAATACCTTTGCATAATCAATGAAACACAGATAGACATTCTTCTGGTATTCCCTGCTTTCAGCCAAGATCCATCTAACATCAGCAACGATATCCCTAGTACCACGACCCCTTCTAAACCCAGCCTGGAAAACGATTAGAACAGCACATCAGCAGAGAACAGTACAATATAGTGAATAAATTGCTATCCAGTCTTTATCCTTACAAGTACAGTCATTTCTTATGTTGTATTGACAACTTTATCTAAAATGTACTTTTGGAGACATTTTCATACTATCCCACTAACAATGACAACCTGAGCAAGTGTTTGTGAGACTTCAGTTCCCCAGATGCTCTGGTTTCAAATGTTGTTGTTGCATGACATCAAGTCAGAACCAACCCATAGCTGACATTCTGGAAGGTTTTCAGAGGCAGTCAATAGCACAGGAGGAGATTGCCCATACTTTTCACAGGGAGCAGCTGGTGGATTCAAACTGTGTGCCTTTGGGATTGCAGCACAGCTTCTTGCCTCTAGGCTACCAGTACTTCCTTGGTTTCAAATAGAGCTATTTATTATTAACAAACAAATAAGACAAACAAACATAGCAGTTCTGGCAGCATAGTCCTTGGGAAGTTGCACTGCTAACTCAAAGGCCATGCCTCTCTGGTAGTTTGAGTCCACCGTGGCTCCATATGAGAAAGATGAATCCTTTCTTCATAGGCTATTTACAGTCGTGGAAACCCTCAGCCACCTATGAGTACATTCAAACTTGACAGCAATAAGTGAATGTGATTAATACAGTATCACAAAGTTCTTGTTATTATGTGCCATCGAGTTGCTTGTGACTCATAACTGTACAACATCTCTAAAACCTGCTCCATCATGTGCCAATCTTATTGTCTCTGACACACCTATGCCCATGAGCGCAGTTACTGAATCAATTCATCTCATCAAGGGACTTCCTCTCTTGTGCTGTCCCTCCACCCTCCCAAGCATGATGTCCCTCTCCAAGGACTGGTCACAATAAATGCTTGTGATTAAAAGGAACAATTTTTCTTGACTAAATATTTTTCAACTTTATACCCTAATGTCTTTATGTCCATATAGTCTATTAAATTCTTAAACATATAATGGTAATGTCAAAGTTGTTGCTGTGGAGTCCAGAGGGTATTTTGAGACTGTAAATATCATGAGAGGAGATTGTCCATCTTTCTCCCCTATAGCAATGGTAGATTTAACTGCTTTCTTTTGAGTTGACAGCACAATGTTTTAACTACTAGGCCACCAGAACTTTTAAATAACAATACTGCAGTCTTGTTACTAAGGATCTGAACTCCTTGACAGAAGTCCCTTAACATTTCAGTTCTATTTCTTAACTGTGGGATGAAAGAATTAGTTTACAGAATGGTTTCAAAAGACCCTTCTAAATCCAACTAGAGTCTCCTATTCAGGAAAATGGCAAATCGATGGAAAAGAATTTTAATTGGAAAGAGTTGAAGATGTAGATCAGCTTACTTCACTTAATTCAGCAGCTGATAGGTGCCATAATAGGCATGTTTTTCGTAGGTAATATATATATTTCAACATTACTATCATGTTAGAATTTTCATAATAATTTTCTAGGAAAAGCAGCTACCAGGCTCTTTATTTTTTTTTTTTTATTTTGTTATTTTTGTGTGCATGTACCGTCAAATCAGATCTGACTGGTACAGGAGGAGATTGTCCCTCCTTACCCGGCAGAGCATCTGGTGGATTCGAACTGTTCGCCTCTGGGATTGTAGTTGCAGCTCCTTGTCACTAGGCCACCAGAGCTCCCATCAGGCTCTTTATTTTGTCCTTTTGTTTCTCTTTTGAATTGTTACGTATGGTCAGAGAAGGAACAATTACATTATTTTGAAATTGCCACACTCTTTCATACACAATTTATAAATTATAGCACTAGATGAATATTGGGGTAATTTAATTGTTGATCTTAGTCATAATTCGATTCGCATAACTATAAAGAATGTTTCTTTTTTTACACCATTGACAGATCAATTGTTCTAAAGCTTTCCAACAATGATATCTTTTATAGTTACTACTCAGTGAATACAATTTTCTGAACTTGACATCCCAAGGTTTTCTATGAAATTTTCCTGTGCATCATTTGTAGCCTTGTTTTTTATTTCTTCCTCTCATAACCATGTCTGCTGTTTAACTGAAATGACTGGCCTTTATGTTAAAGTATGATGTATATTTTTCTGAAACAAGCAGAAAACCCTAAAACAACCAGAAGTTCTGTAAAATACCAACCCTAAAAAATACCAAACATTATGGGACACTAGCATTGTGAAAGGTCATTTAAAGCCTGTGAAATTTCATTATGATAAGAGTCACCAAAATAGTAGCAAGCTTAATTAGCTCAGTCAGTTTTGATAGGCCTCTTATTACGAGAAAAATATGATGACTAGGAAATATCCATAGACACCTACTGACCACAAGAGGGTTAAAAAGTGAAAAGAAATTATGTTCTTAACTGACTGAGGTACAAATATCTATAAATATTGCAAAAAGTAATGGCCATGTTAAACATTGCCAGTCCATCTCTTAGAGTCAAGGAAAATGCAAACATAGATGAGAACAGAACTGCTTTCATTAGTTTAGTTTCATGGTCAATCCACATTTGAACATAGTCATTTCAAACCTGCTCCACATCATATATATAATGACAAATATTATGCAATAAAAAGAAAAGCTTTTATGATGCAGAGCAAAAGCCTTGGGAGAATCATTGTCTCAACCAACCTGACTGTACATCCTTTGCAGTCACCTTCTTTCTCTCGGAAATTCCACAACCCTATAGGCTTGTTGTCAAAGTATGTCTCTCCCATGCAGCCAGTGAATGTGATCACTCGCACGGCATCAGCTTTCTGAAGAAAGAAGTATTAGGTCAGTTAGAATACGTGGGGAACAAATGAGACAATTTATTTTTGGTACTAAGTTCCATGTCTGGTACAGAAAAGGTTATTGTTCAATGTTACTTTTTCTTTGCTGTTCTCTTTATACAAATTTGGACCAATGATCTAGAGATCATGAGTTGTTGCTGTTATGGGCCTTTCAATTGGAATTGACTCAGAGCCTGCCCCTACCCCGCCCACCCCACCCCGCACCCCCCGTTTTTAAGCAGCAGTAAATCACATGGGAAGAGATTGTCCATCTCTCTCCTGTTGAATAGTTGGTAAATTTGAACCACATAACTTTTAGATTGGTAGCACAGCTCCTTACCATTAGGTATGACCATGGGTAGAGGTTGTTGTTGTTCTTGTGTGCTGTCAAGTTGGAATGGACTCTTAGCTGGCCCTCCAGTGGCTTTTCAGAGACAGAAAATTTCATGAGAGAGGATTGCCCATCCTTCTCCCATGGAGTGGCTTGTAGATTTGGGTCATGTGCCTTTGGGGCAAAAGCTCTGGTTCTTAACCAGTAGGACAGTATGCATATATGAAAAAGAGCATGGGATTTTTTCCTACAATATGGTGCTCAGTCTTGGCACCAGCAACCAGGAAATTAAAAGGCTCATTGCCATGGGAAAGTCTGCTGTTAGGGACCTCTCCAAAGTGCTGAAGAGCAATGGTGTCTCTCTGGAGACTAAGGTGCGTCTGATACAGGCCATGGTTTTTGCAATCACTTGTTATGCATCAGAGAGTTGGACAATGACCAAGGAGGATAGAAGGAGAATTGATGCCTTTGAGCTGTGGTGCTGGAGAAGAGTACTGAGAATACCATGGACTGCTAGGAAAACAAACAGATTTGTCCTGGAGAGGGTTAAACCGGGTGGCTCCTTGGAGGCAGGGATTCTGAGGCTTCGTCTAACTTACTTTGGACATGTTGTGAGGACAGACCGGTCCTTAGAGAGGGACATGATGCTTGGGAGGGTGGAGGGACAGCGCAGGAGAGGAAGGCCCTCTATGAGGTGGATTGATTCAGTGACTGGGATAATTGGGATGGGAGTGTCAGAGACAGTGCGATTGGCACAGGACAGAATGGAGTTTATGGCTGCTGTACATAGGGTCGCTATGAGTCACAGGCGACTCAATGGCACATAACAACAACAACAACAACAACAATGCTGCTCACAATTTTTCATTCCTTTTAACACCTTAGAAATTTTCTAGTTTGTTAGAATCAAGGGAAAATGACTGACTTTTTAAGAGAAAGGCCCCTGTTTGATGGTAAACCCAAGCTCACTGCAGTTGAGTCAATCCTGATAGTGAGCCTATAGGTCGGGGTAGAACAACCCTCATAGGTTTTCCAAGGTTTAATGTTTACAAACGCAGGCAGCTACATTTTAAAAATAGGTCATAAATATATGTTCAGTGACCACCCTGATGTCATTTTTACAACCCTGATGTTATTTTTACAACCCTGATGTTATTCTTATAGTAATATCTGCAACTTAATACATGCCAGCATCATGAAGATTAGAATGACCTAATATATCCTACAGCATCTTGTCATTTAAATAGTCATCGATTTTGACATTTATAGAAGATGAATAAATGCTTTATTCTAGAGGTTTCTATCTTTCAAGACTCTATGTCAAAGCACTTGCAAATTGATGTGAATATACTTGAAAAAGAACAAATCTACAGGTTTGCATTCCAAAGCAAAACCAAGAAGCTAGTCATTGAATAGTTAAACATTTCTAGTTAGAACTTTGCTTGGAAGACAGAATGTTGATTACAGCTGACATTTTCCAGTCAGAATGGTCCCTGCAACACTCCATCATCATCTGAAGCTTCTCTTAATTTCCCAGAGGTTAATTATCCTACTTTTGGATTTTACTTGATTTATGCTTCTTTTTTTTAATCCTGAAAAACTATACTTGGGATATGTTCCTGCTCATTTGAATTTTTATCAGCAAGTTCATTTATATCCTTGTTTCAGCTTTCAATTCATATTTTGATGTGGCAGGAACCCTGGAATTCTTGGCTAAAATGATTTTTAAAGATTTTCTGCAGATATTGTATCATTTATCTATGTCGTCTCTTCTTTCAAGACTGAGAAAATAAATTTGCTTTTACCAGTGACATTTGAATGATAACAGTTCTTGTGATTTAAGGGAGACTACTGCCATACCTTAGCCATTATTGTTGTACTTTGTGTACCATCTAGTTAGAACCGACCAATAGCTGACCCTCCAGTGGGTTTTCAGAGGCAGTTAATTGCACAGGAGAAGATTGGTTGCCCATTGTTTTCCCACAGAGCAGCTGGTGGATTTGAACTGCATGCTTTTGGGATTGCAGCACAGCTTCTTACCACTAGGCCACCAGTCTTAGCCATTAGTCATGACTTTTATATGCAAAATTTCATTCACATTGTAGCAATAAAGCATGGTGATTCCCACTGAAGAGTGGAGATTTATATTGGGTTTTTGTGTTCAAATTCTGGCTCTGCCATTAACTCGCTATGTGACCTTGGCTGAGTCACTTACCTTTTCTATGTTTCAGTTTCCTTAACTATAATTATTATAATTATATAATTATTATAATTAACAATCATTATCTACCTTGTGAAAGTAAGTAAATGAATTCTTAGAAATTATTTGAAATATTACTTGCCATATAATCAGAGACACATAAATATTGTCAGTGTACAAGCAAAGTAGGTATTTTAGTTTTATTTTCTGTTGAGAAAATGCAAGTCCAAGAGGTTAAGTAACTTGCCTATAATCACATTTTAGCCAATGCTAAAATATGGTTGAACCGAGTACAGTCCAACCCAGATTTGATTTCTAAATTCATGACTTCTGTACTACACTGTGTTGGCTCTATAGTTATCTTTCTGGAGAGGAGAAAAAGCTGGCAACTTGGCTATATATTACTGTACATCCTATATACTTACATGCACTTCTAAGAAATGAGGATGATTTTGTATGCAGTTGTGGAATTGATTCTAATAATTTAGAGTCACATCTCATACACAAAGCAAATAAAACAACTCCACTCTATATGAAAGCTGAGTTCTCATAAATTTGGGGTCACCCTGGCTTTTCACATTTCCTGATGAGTCTCATCCCAGGATAATTCTGACAAGCCCAGGATTACTCATTATATTTGGTTATGCTCTTATATCTCACCCCCAGCTCGTTTTCCAACATCTAATTCTATTTAATCAACATGAGCCCTTTTCAAATGTAGGCACTTTGTAATTTGAAATGCACAAGGACCTGTCACGAAGCAATTATGAATATTAAGTGCATTACCATATAAGAATAAGGAGAAGCTCAACTCAAAAACTTTTAAAACCAAATCATGACTTGAAAGCTTATGGTTCCTGTGATATTTCCCAAGGTAGTCATGAATCTTTTAATTAGATGTGAGTATGAGGTTTATAATACTTCATATCTATAAATCATAAATTGAATCAGAGAATGAGAAATACTAAAAGGAAAAATACAGGGCTCTGGAAGTGGCTTAAATGAGAATATAAAAAATGTCACCCATAAGGGCAAGCCAGCAATTGTTTAAAGTAAATACATTTAGACTTAAAACTAATGTGTTTCTAAGTTGAAATTCAAGGAAGAAAATTCCTCCTCAAAATAAATTCACATTTTTGAGTAATAGTTTGGGAAAACTCACGTTAAATAAAAAGTGTCCAGGTATTTGTAGAGGTTTATTATGCCTTCTCTCAGAGGACTTTCTCTCAGGCACTGTATGTCTATGAAGATTAAATAATCAGCATGGGAATAGCACTTTACCTTTAATTTTTCAGTCAAGCCTCCGACAAACAACATTGCATTGGCATCCACGTCAAGGATAGTGTATCCTGGAGGAGACACTGAACTGTATGTACTGGGCACGATGCTAGCTTTGGGTCCTTCTAGTGCTCTCACAGAAATGCTTCCATTTCTTCCAGTTCTTCCAGAGTTATATGTTGAAATGAGGGAAAAGAAAAGTTAGGTAAAGACACATATATCATATATGAGAACTATGATCATAGGAGAGAAAAAAATTAAGTTTTGTTTAGGGTTACTTCAAACTGGATCTTTAATTACAAGTATTCTGGATTCAGTAAGTTGCAAATCACAATCCAGACTCAGATCTTTACTGGAGTTTTGTGGCTAGTCTGTGTCAGAGTCAGAATAACACACTCTTGTTCTGTGGGTCTCCTTTGATATGAAATCACAGATGCAGCAGTTAGTTGATGGAATTGATATTCGTTAAGTAGAAAGTCTTTTTCCCCCCGATGCTCTGCCTAATAATTTAGTATTTACCAACACATGCTATTTTAACAAGTTAATATAACTTTGCTTAGCTGTTACTTAATTTATCAAGTGAACCTTAAAAGGGACCCTCTTCTGCATTGTGAATTGTATAATTTTCCCTAAAATCCCTTATTATATCTTGGATTAAAACTTGCTGAAGTAGTCTTCCTGGAACTGTACTACTGTCTTTTACTGCTTGGCACAACATCTTAATTTCTTATAAGATAAAATCTAATTTTCAGAGGGTTGTGTGTACAGATTGTAAACAAGAACTCCATTTTTAAATCCAATTAATAGAATCTTGAAATCTACTATCATGTTATCTAATTTTCCTTTTCAAGTGATTGATTTCCATGGATTGTTAAAGATACAAATCCATTCTCTCTTCTAGGGTGGTCATGATAAAATTTGAGTGTCATATTTATTTTCCTGCTGTTTCATTTAGTAATTGGTACCTCCCCCCCCCCTTTTATTTCTTTGTGGTATTAAACTGAATGAAAGACATGAAAACAATTAAGTGCACTTATTCAAATAGGTTCATTGTTTTTAACAGAATGTTTTTCTTTTTCTTCTAACTGCAGAACTATACTCAGCTGAGCATAAATGTCCTTATAAGTAGTTAATCTTTCCATCTTCAATCTCTACATACACTTTCTACCTCTTTTTCTGGGTTTCTCTCTCTCTTACTTCTGTCTCTCTCTCACACAAACTACACATTCTTACTGAAGATCTTTAAAAAAAAAACAACTAACCAAAAAACAAACAACAAATAACCCTGGGAATATTGCTTGTTGTGATTGCTGTCTGCTGATTTTGAGTAATTTTTCAGGGCAAACCTATGAGAGGGAGAAATGTCCTGTAGAATTTTCTAGGCTACAGTCCTTAAGGAATCATCTTACCAGGTCTTTCTTCCTCTGACCTGGCAGCTCAGTGGGCATAAACCGTCAACCTTTTGGTTAGCAGCTGAGTCCTCAACCATTGAGCTATCAGAGCTCATTCTTGTTCAGTTCCTTCTTTTTCTTTTTTTAGTAAAAAATGACTTTGTTATGAAACAACTAAAGTACATATAAAATTAGACTGGAAGTTTTGCATCTATTTCCTAGATTCAACAGTTACCATTTTAAGACTTCTTCACCTATGTTTTACCAGTCTCATTTTGAACTCTGAGCCCTTAACCAAGCCTTTCAAGTGTTACGTTGATTGAGCGGGAGTTGAAAAACTGGACGAGAAGAAAAAATGAGATAGAAATATAGTAGAAAAGAATGAATACTACAAGTAATCTCTTATGTCATGTCTCTCAAAACTCATTGACTTGGAATGGATTCATAGCTGATCTTCCAGTGTCTTTTCAGTGGCTGTAAGTTGAACAGGAAGTGGCGGCTCATTTTTATTCTGCTGAACAGCTGTTAGATTCAAACTGCCTGTATTTGAGTTGGCAGCTCAACTCCTTACCCAATAGGCCATTTACCACTGCCAAAAAGTCAAAAATGGAACTAAAACTTCAAGGTAGGATTGCTTGAAAATTGTTGTTGTTGTTGTTATGTGCTGTTAAGTCACCTGTGACTCATAGTGAACCCATGTACAACAGCTCTGAAGCCAGTCCTGTCCTGTGCCAAGTTCACTGACTCCAGCACAGCGAACCCCATCGCCTCAGTTACTGTATCAGCCCATCTCATCTGAGGGTCTTCCTCTCCTGTGCTGTCTGTCTTCCTTTCCAAGCATGATATCCTGGGCATGTGCCTGGGCATGTGATGGAGATTCAAAATTCTAGCTTCCAAGAACTTAGTTTGGTTTCATCCTCTTCAAGACAGGCCCATTTGTTTTCTTGACAGTCCATGGTATGTTCAAGACTTCTCCAGCATCACAACTCAAAAGCATCAATTATTCTGTCATCCTTAGTCATCATCCAGCTCTCTGATGCATACCAAGTAATTGTGAAGACCAAGGCCTGGATCAGGCACAGCTTAGTCTCTAGACTGACCTTGTTCTTCTCAGTACTCTAGAGAGGTTCCTGACAGTAGATTTTCCCAGTTCAAGTCATCTTTTGACATGAAATTATTAAAAATAATTTTCCTATCAACCATAAAACTATTCAAAAGTTCCGTCATGTTTAATTACCATACTTTTTACTAAAGTAGTTACCTTGATGCCTCAATACGGTACCAGTAGGAATCATCAATGGTTAAATCTGGATATTCTACACGTCCAACTCCAGATCCAACATCCCAGAGGAAGCTTACTTTGCCTTTACGCATTTCAATAGCCAGAAAGTCAATCTAGAGGAGAATAACACACAAACAAAAGATTATAAAGATATGTCACCCTCAAAGGGCAGGCCAGTGGAGTCCTTTTTGATTGGTACCATTTTCAGATGTTAAATGACTAGAGCCCTCACAATAGGAGCCCATGAATGATATGCTTTCTTATTGTGTCCAACTAAATGGACATTTTATTATTGTAGCTTTAAGGAGACATACTGTATATGTCCAGACCACTGAGGAATTATATAATTTTATTCAATTCTCATTAGTTATCAATTCAGATGTCTTTTGAGACAAGGAACTTTTCTCACTGACCTTGTAGCAGAAATAAAATATTTGAGTTAAAAATTCTCATTTTTCACCAAGGGCACTGATATTTTTGAGAACATAGCTTACAGTTTTGTACTCAAGGTATCTCAGTGCTGCTCATTTGAATGACATGGATGGATTGATATTGTGATTAATATACAATAGGCAATAGGAGTTTGTTTTTAACCTGTTAATGGATCCAAAATTATCTAGTGCCAATGGAGGAATCGGACACTCTTTTTTGCTGGTCTTTTCTTGATACTATTTCTATTTCATCCATGTTAAGTAAACAAGTCAGTATGAGTCAGAAGAGTGTTCTATGGTAGAAGACTAATACACAGGGTACTGGTTGCATTTTATTAATGTGAAAGTACATTGTAAAGTTATTCTTTACGGGAGAAAAGTAAAAAGAAAAGAATACACCACAAAAAAGAATTTAAAAAACACAACACCAACACTTTATTTCTTCTTGAATGGCTGGATCTAAATTTATAATCAGAAAAAGCAATTTCTGTTATTCTCTTAAAGAAAAGCAAATGTGCTTACATTTTTTTTCTGAAGGAATAAGGCCTTCATTTGCCATTTTATAACTTTTTGAAGTATAATTTCAAAGTTTTACATTCTGGAAGGCTACCTCACTTGAATTTGGGGTCACATTACTGGATTCTATACATTTTCCCTACTTCCAGAATTAACCTTTGACCTTATTCATATATTGTAGACCAAAGAAAAACTGAACATTAGACTTACAAATTTAGCACTTCCAAGATAAAAAAGGAGATTGTCAGCAACAGCTGTCTTGACATTGACAACAATATTATTGTAGCTTCCTTTCTTGATTTCCGGCTTGTATGTTCGAATGCAGTCACCTCCCGAAGACACCGATACTTTGATCTTCAAGAAAAACAAGGTACAAAGGACCAAAACTAAATCTCTCAAAAGTTTGAAGTAGCTTCCAAGCCACCACAGAACTGTCATTGTTTCTTCTTTGAAGTTTTTTTTTCTATCATCAAACAGTGTCATTAAATGCCCATATGCAGACATTATACACATTAATGAGAGCACAGAAAAGCATACTAGCATTTCAACAATGAGTTCATCACTGTCTCACATCTTGTTAGCATTCATCTATTTTTTTTGAAACATGCAACTAACAAACTCTTGCCTTTATACTTTTCCCCTTTACAAAAATGGGAACAAAGGAGAAACATTTTCAAAGGATGATTTCACATGAATCTAATGGTAATGATCTTCATTAAAGCTGTTTAAAGGAATTTCAAGATGGAAATTTCAGCGATTAAGGTATCAATTAAAATGGGAAATGGTATTCTTTTAGTTTTCAAGAGGAAAATTATCTGCCCCCCATGTTCTTACCTTTCAAAAAGACCAAACAGATTTTGTTCTAGATGTTCTAACAATATTAATCATTCCACTCAGAACATACATTTTAGAATAAATTATACCTTTTTATTAAGTTGCTAGGAAATGAGATGAGAATAATTCCAGCGGCTAGCACTGCTGATGTATTTAATAGCTGCTTTTTCTTTTGACTAGTACTCTAAAAATTACTATAAATTGCTAAAAAAGAAATCTCTTTGTGAATAAAACTGACACTTCTCAGATCAATTTTTACTTAGGTTTAAAGAGTCTTCCTTCAATTCCAAATAACACTAATTGATTATTTGAACTAATTTCTTCAGGTGAGGTGAAAAATCATCAATCAACTGCTACAAGCAATTTCAGGACACCAGTTTATCTGCTTAAAATCAAGGAGAAGTTTCCCTCTGCTAAGTGAGAGTATTCTAAGTTGGAGGCAGAGATACAGAATTATGTAAAGCTCAGGCTCAAATGTCCATCCTCCTCTCTCCCAGGCTCAATTGTCCATCCTCAGGAATCTTTTTGTCCCTTGTTAGTTGTCATTGAGGTGACTGGCTTTGACTCATTGATCCCATGTGGATAGAACAGAGTACAACTGCTCTATTGAGTTCTCAATGCTACGGCCTTTTGGAAGCAACCCACTAGGCCTGGTTTCCAATAGCCCTCTGTGTAGCTCAAACCATCAACCCTTTAGCTGGATGATAAGCAACTTTATGCCACCCATAAAAGCAAAGCAAAAAAATCAAACCCATGACCTTCAAATTGATGCCCATTGACAGTGAACCTGTACGACAGAACGGAGCAGAACTGCCTCATAGGGTTTCCAAGGCTGTGAATCTTTGCAGAAGCAGACTGAAATGTCCTCCCACAGAGAAGCTGGTAACAGTCATGGACTTAACAGTAGTTAAGCACTGCTAGGGCATCTTGTGTACCACTCTTATGCTACTTGTATAGTTTCTAAACATAATAAACAGAACTTACTTGGATACTTTAAAAGGAAGCCAAGTAAGTAACATTATCATTATCATCATTAAAGGGACTCCTGGATTTCTAGCAAGATTGTTAAGGCCACCAGAGCAGTCTCCAGACTATGATGACACAAAAGATGTCTCAACAACCTGACCAGGGTGCAGGTGTAGGCAGCACAGTGTCTGCGCTCCTGCTGTGGCAGAGACTATGCTGATGGAGTGCAGGGCCAAATTTTAGTGCTGACCAGTATGGGAGCTCAGATCTGTATACTTTAAGACTGACCTTGTAGACGTCACAGTAACATTGTGCTTCACAGAGTTTTCAATGATTGATTTTCCAGAAGCCTTTATTTCTGGGTAGATTCAAATGTCCAACTTTTTGATTTTGTAGTTGAATGTTTTAACCATTTGTAGTGACTCCAAGGCACAGCATAAGTCACGTTTTTTGTATGTTGTTGTTGTTATGTGCCATTGAGTCACTTGTGACTCATAGCAACCTTACGTACAAGATCCCTAAACGCCGTTCTGTTCTGTGCCAACCTCACCGTCTTAAACACACTCATTTTCGCCACTCCATTCACAGAACCGATCCATCTCATTGAGGGTCTTCCTCTCCTGCGCCGTCCCTCCACTTTCCTAAATACGATGTCCCTCTCTAAGGTCCAGTCCCTCCTTGCAACATGCCCAAAATATGTCAGAAGAAGCTTTAGAATCCTTGACTCCAAGGAGCACTCCAGCTTCATCCTCTTAGCAGTTCTCCTAGCAGTCCATGGTATATTCAACACTCTTCTCCAGCACCACAGCTCAAAGGCATCAGTTCTCTTTCTGTCATCTCTATTCACTGTCCATCTCCCCAATGCATAGCATATAATTGCAAAGACTATAACCTGGATCAGGTGCACCTTAGTCTCCAGCTTGATGTCGTTGCTCTTCAGTACTCTTGAGAGGTCCCTGATAGCTGACTTTCCAGTGCAATTCATTTCTTGGTTTCCTTGCTGCTGTTACCAAGAGTGTTGACTGTGGAACCAAGTAAAAACTACAGCTGTTGACTCTCTCAATCTATATTAGTTAATCTACTCTTCAGATTGTATCTCTATGTAGAGAAACTGCAGAGATACAATTTGGTTTTTGTTGAAAGAGATAGAGGCTTACTCTCACTTTTAAAATTTTGTTGAAAGAGAGAGAGGCTCATTTTCCTGGAAGCCTGTGGGTGTGGTCACCTGGAGCTGGAGCCATCCAAAAAGCTGCTGTTTGAATTACATTCTCTGATATTGTCTTTACTTGGAGGTTGTGACCTGCCTGAGGACAAATCAAGAACCTCTTATAATGAATCAAGAGAGGGTTGGCTCTGTGTCCTAGGATGGTGATCTTCCTAGTGGGGTAATTTTTAAACAGTTCTAAACTAGTTCTCTGTTTTCAGATTGAGAAATTGTCCTCTCCTGTATGATGCTGAGGAAAGCTAAATGCAAATGAATTGCAGAAAATTTGAATCAGGAAATGTACATCTTTCACTGTAGATGTTAGTAATATAAAGCAGATATGGGATAGAGGCTGGCACAAGTTCTCACATGATAGGCAGTGGCTAGACAAAGATTTGCGTGACGTTTTAGGGATAGAAACATAAAGCAAGCAACAGAAAGATTATATACTAAAATATAAGTAGGAGGAATATAGTCCTTAAATGTTTTTAATACTCCCAAAAGGGTATGGAAAAGAGTGAGTTTTTAGAGATTTGCAGCATGTGAACCAAAACTGTTATCTGAAAAACCTTGGCACTGAACAAATTTAATATCTGAAGCAGGCTTTAAGTACCATTGACATCAAAAGGAGATCAAAGAGAACAGAAAAATCAAGATCGGGCTAGAATTCATAAATGGGGATGATTAGTACAGTCAACTGTCTCAAGAAGGAAATAATATCCAAATTGCTAGTGGGGCTGGGTGAGGAGTCTTATATAACACTCTCTCTCTCTTTCTGTGTGTATGTGTGTGTAGCTTGTATTAACTTTTCTTTTTAAATTTTTATAAAATAGTACTATTATGGTTAGTTTAATTATAAAATAGACATTTAGGTTTTAAGAAAATAACTAAATGATACTCCTCAGTGACTGTGTCAAGTAGAAATCACCAAACATAGCTAGAACACAAGACTGTTTGGACAAAGGAAGAGTTTAAAATGTTGCAAAGTGAAATTGTTAGAAAGGAGTGTCTATGACCCAGATGATGAAAAGAGGAGTTTGCAAATTTGAAAAAGATGGAGCATCAGTACTGAGTCCTCACTGAACTGAGGACACTTTATCTGAAATCTTTTAAAATTCAGATATCCAGCATCTGTAAGAGGGAGTTCCAGTAGCCAGGTGGCAAGAATCTGTGCTGCAATCCTGAAGGCATGAAGTTCGAATTCACCAGCTCTCTGAGGAAGAAGGACGTGAAATCTCTTCTAGGACAGGTAACTGCCTCTGAACACCCACTGGAGGGTCAGCTGGTGGTACTGGCTCCATGTTATGTAGCAATGAGTCATACTTAATATCCTTTTAGCAAATATTGTTGTTTTTAGGTGCTGTCAAGTAGAGGCCCAGCAATCCTATGAACACTTCAGAACCCTGTCATGTCCATGCCATCCTCACAATCTCTGACATCCTTGAGCCCATTTCTGCAGTCACTGTGCCAATCCATCTTTCTGAAAGACTTCCTCCCTTTCATCAACATCTCCAAGAACCATGTATCTTCCCAAGGAATAATTTTTCCTACCAATCTATCCAAAGAAAGTTATATGACGCTTTATCATCCTTGCCTCAAAGGGGCACTCAGGATGAACCCTCTCTAAGACATATTTGTTCTCTTAGTAGTCCATGGGATATTCAGTACTCATCTCCAATACCATAGTTCAAAGGCATCAATTCTTCTTCAGTGATTCTCTCAGATGTGTAATAAGTCATTGAAAAGACCATAGTTTGAATCAGGTATACCTTAGCCCTCAAAATGACATCACTGCCCCTCGATAATTGGAGAGGTCCCTGACTGAAGACTTTCCAAGTGTAATATGTCTGCTGATCTTTTGATTGATGGTACAAAGGATGTTAATTAATTGTGGATCAAAGTAAGATGAAGTCTTTGTCAGCTTCAATCTTTTCTCCATCTATCATTAGGTGTTGCCTATTGATTTAGTAGTTAAGATTTTTTTTTTGTTTCCTTTATGTAATGGTTTTCAACAATAGATACTTTTAAAACCCATTAACATCTATAAATCACAGCATTGTTGTTGTGTGCTGTGGAATCAGAATCAACATATAGCTGATTCTCTAGAATGTGTTCCGGTGCTGCAGAGAAATTGTCCATCTTTCTTTCTTTCTTTTTTTTTTTGTGTGTGTTCTTGCATTAAAAAAATTGACATTGATGAATTTTATTCAAGGTAGTATGGATTAAGAATTGCTGAACATACTTAAACTTTTCACAGTCAAATTTACACCTATAAATTACAGAAAACACAGGGGTTTTCTAGAAATAATGATTATTCATATATAATAATTCACATTGTGATAATACGAAA